TAGCTAAAAATGTTTTGTCTCGATATTTTTGACCAACTTGTTGGATTTTACTGAAAGAATTATTCCTCTCGCCCTTATGGCCTCTGAGTCAATAGCCAATTGGCCTCGTAGGCTATTGACTCAGAGCACAATTTTGGGCTCGAGGAATAATTGTTAAATATGAACGTTAATTTAAGGGATCGGATCAAGCCTTTTTGGGGTTGAACATCTTCATATGCCTTAAGTCTCCAATGTAATCAATCAGCTCCTCCCTAAATTATAAGACTTCTCAGAAGTCGGGGAGGGTGGAGGCATATGATAGCTGCTTAGCAACAATATCGGAGGAAAAAAAAACAACCGAATGAATTCACACTCAATTCTACAAGTATTGTATGGGCATAAAGAGAAGCACAGAAGAGATCCATATGTATGCAGCCTGTAACAAAACTGGGACCTGTTTTTCGAAAGTCCCGGTAATTAACGGGCCTGGAAAGCTGTTGTTTACATTCAAAATATATTTTTCAAAACTTTTGAAGACAACATGATTAACCGATCCGTTGACAAGACAAAATGAACTGGTTTGTAAGCTAGGATGCCCGCTTTTTGATTTCGAGCCATGAAAAGTTACCGGGACTTTCGGAAAACGTGTCCCTGGTCGACTTTCACGTCTCTTATTAAAACTAAAAAATATACACTTCTGGTTATATCTATAATCACTTCCCCCAAAAAGCATTGCTAAACAATGTCTCAAAATTCCTGACTAATTAGTGAAAAATGGGAAGCTGGATCTTTTAAAACGGAAGGATTAATGATTTCACAACCGCGGCACTAATTCGGGTATTTACAAATTAACACCCCGCCTTTGTTACGGTGCTTGATATTAAGAGATATCAAAAAAACCATATTTCTTGAGAAATAAGAAAGACCTCAACCAACTTGTGAGTTCTTAAGTTTTAACTAGGGAAACTCTAGAAACTGGGTTCATATAACACTTCGAGGTCTACATATTCACATCAAAGCAGACAGACTGCAAATTATCTTAGTTGCTAAAAAATATATATCTACGTGTCGCAACTGTTCATCAGTAGGATGCCTAAAATGCGTGCAATTCCACAATTGGTTTCGGCTCCATTAAATCCTATACCAATTGCAGAACATTTTAGGAGGAGCCACCCACCATGTGAGCACAGTCACGGACAATGTATAAGTGAGGAAAATAACGCAAAGTAAAATTAAGACGTTAATAAACGAACTAAATGTACACGTCAATCGAATAAATAAACAAATAATGCGCGCGCTCAAAATAAAATTGTACGCGCACACGTACCGAGATACAACTGAAATACAACACTATGCAATAAATAAGCAATGTAAGGATACGATGGTACAATTCAAGCCTGGATTGCTAATCTCATCTCCCGCAGGTGGTGGCGATCGCGAGTTATAAGTAGCGATCGCGAATCGTAAGTAGCGATCGGGAGTTAGAAGTGGCGATCGCGAGTTGTAAGTCGCAATTACGAGTTATAAGTGGCGGTCGCGGGTTATAAGTTGCGATCGAGAGTTATAACTTACCATCGCGAGTTTTAAGTCGAAATCGAGAGATATAAGTTTGTATTGCTATTTATTAACTTTGATCGAGAGTAAGTCAAATCGCAAATTATTAAGTGGAAATGAAAAATATCGAGATGTCCCTTATGGGCCATCGTAGTAATCAGAGTGTAGACTTGTGTTAAGTAAAATAAAACAAAAACCAATGTTCATTAAAATGAAGATTAGTGCAAGGTCAGCTTCATCATTTTTATCTGTGGGTTAGGTAATAGGGTAGAGAAATCAGAATTTTTATCATTTAAATCATAAGGGTAATAATTGATCGTAGGGTGTTCATGAAATTGAACGTTGTACATATATTAAAGATGTCTTCATCAATACACAACTTCGTTATGGTCAAGATAATCCTCAAATTTCACGTGTCATAAAGGCTTCTGTGGTAGACCTTTCATTTACGTTCACCACGGTCTAGTCTGTTCCAGGCTCTCAGATTGTAGGGATGGCACTTGAGCTGGTGTAACCGTCCAGCTACAGAACCCCTACACTAGCCTTACCCATCATGTAAATGTAATCAAATTAAAATGAGAGATTATATGGACAGGCAGGTTACCACACCTAAGCAAGTTATCTCACCTAGTAATTTGAAAATTGTAAAATCAACGCTGTTCAAATGAGTCGATTTTACAATTTTCAAATTAAGATTAGGTAACTACGTTGCACAGGGATTTTATTCTTTTTTACACAAGGTTACCTCACCTACTTGGGGTCCCACACCTCCATGTAAACAGAACCTAATTGGTCAGTGTGAAAACCTTAGATAATACTGAATAACTTTTAGAGTTCATTCATCAGTGAGGGAAATTTATTAGAACCGTACATTCACCACTTTACGATGTGAAGAAAACTGGGTGAGTTGACTTTCCGAAAGACTTCTGGGACTGCTACTGGGGACAGGGAAAAAAATTGGCCAACAGCTGACTGGTGCATCCTGGTGCATCCAAAGCTAACTCTGCTCAGTAGCCTGAGAAAACAGACAACATTTTGCGACATCAGCAGCGGTTTCCCAGTGAAATGACATCTGAGAAACAAATGCAGAAATTCCACACTGATGATGCATACATACATACATACATACATACATACATGAACTTTATTAAAGTGCCAAGGTATTTAGCTAAAAGCTAATTGCGGACACTATAAATAAATGAAATGAATATAATATAAGATTAAATCAAGTATACATAAAAATATTAAAAATATATCATTAAAATATTATTAATATATAAAAATAACATTAATATATAAAATTATTACAGACAAACAGCAGCAGTATACGTAAAAATATTAAAAATATATCATTAAAATACCATTAATATATAAAAATAACATTAATATATCAGCAGGACAAGCAGGGAACAAACAAAGACAAACATATCACCTACAATCAGATAGACAGACAAACAAACAGACAATATAAGACAAACATATAAGCAGCAGTCAAACATAAATACAAAATTCAGAAAGTTAAAAGTCTAGAAAATTTAAATTAGACAACTCAAATAGAGGATAGGGGAGCACACTCCCAATACACCAGGCAGCCAGACAGCAGAAGCCACTATGCATACCCACCACTCTAAGATGATCATGCACAGCAGCCACATGAACCATCCAGCAAGCCAAGCACATTGAGAGCACACACCCTTCTCCTGAATGCCTGAAGACTGGTCTTACTGCGTAGTTCCTGGCTTATCTTGCCCCATATGTGTGGGCCTAAATATCTGATACTGTGCTTTCCATACTTAACAGTATTATATCTTGGAACAGGAAAATCACTTCGTAAGTTATAATGCTCATCTTGCTGAAAAAATATATCACATACATGCTCTGGAGCTAGTGAATTTTTAACCCTATATGTTAAAATTAGTATATCTTGTAGCCGTCTGTTCTCAAGACTAGAGAGTCTTCCCTTCTCTAGGAGTTCCTCATACGTAGCATTCCTATCATTATATACAGCACATAATGCCCGTTCCTGTACTCTTTCTAATTTTCTGGCATCAGATGCTTTGCAAAAAATGCCGTGCTATGTGACAATATGTTAAGTTAGGTAAAATTGCCAATTTGTACAATTGTAACTTGGCTTCTCTGGGAATCATATTTCTAAAACATACTAAAACACCAACTTTCTTATTTGCCTTTTTGCATATATCACTTTATGAGTACTAAAACTAAGTTCATCATCTAATGTTACTCCCAGTAACTTCAAGTCTGGTGATGATTTAATAGCCGGTTCATCAATCTTGACATTGATAGATGGACTGTCCTCATTTTTGTTCTTCCTGCCTAATAACATTAAATTGTACTTGTCATAATTTCCCTTCAAAAAGTTATCTTTGTACGATTTTGATATAGTGTGCCCCCCATTAGTTAAAAATTGTTCCACGCAGTCAACTGAATACCCTTCACATACAGCTGATGATCGTCAGCGTACATTGACAAGCTTGCATTATTTACTATATATGTCATATCATTTTGAAAAATGTTCCACAGTAAGGGTCCAAATGATGACCCTTGAGGGCATCCTCTAACAGCATCCTTCCAACTGCTAGTGACTCCATTAAGTTTGACTCTGTTTTGTCGATTGGAAAAAAAAAAAGGATCTCATCAAGCTAAGTGATTCCTCTGAAAAGCCATACGTCTTAAGTTTATTTATCAAGAGTGATGGATGTAGGGAATCAAATGCTTTACTCATGTTTGTTGAGAGTATTCCAATAAATTGCTTAGAATCCACAGCCAGCTTCCAATCCTCAGTGAGTCTCAGCAAAGTACTGTAGTTTCACAACTATGTTTTTTCCTGTACACAGATATGCAGGGATCGAGCTTGGAATCAAAATGATTATTCACTTGTATGCTCATCATAGACTCAAAAACCTTATCTTCTGTACTTAGCAATGTTATTGGACGATAGTTTCTTTCATCCAACCGGTCATCCTTTTTGTGGACTGGGTTTCACTCTCCTTTCTTCCATGCTTCAGGCCAATCACCTTTCCTTATACACTCATTAAAAAGCTTTGTTAAGGAATCTGCTATGCCACTTGATGCTAGCCTTAACATTCTAGGAGATATGGAGTCATAACCACAGGCCTTTCTGACATTTAGTTTCTCAAGGGCTAACTGAACTGAATTTAAATAGTGTTTAGTGTAGTGTTTCTGATTGGTCATGCCACGTGTGAAATTTACCTCAACCAATCAGAAACACTACCCAGATCTGGGTGGTGACGTGCTATCAGTATGGGATTTCTGCACTTGTTTCTCAGACGTTATTTCATGGGGAAACCGTTGGTGACGTCTCAAAATGTTGTCTGTTTTCTCAGGCTATGCTCAGTTTCCCTCTCATTTTTTTAAAGTGGCAAATTTACCTATGTTAGCCACAATTTCATGCCCTGCCAGGAGCACTTGACCTTCATGGCATAGTCTTACTCTCGGGTAAAAAGAATTTCAGGGAATTGCTCATTTGTCACTTTGTTGAATCTAAATGTTATTCCAGAACAATGGACATACTCCAAAGCATTTTCCCCACGCCATGAACATGAACCAGACAAGGAACTGGAGACCAGGTAATTAGTATCCTTCTCTAGAGTTACTGGTTCATCAAACAAGACGTTGATGCCATAGAACCCCACACTTTTGTACTGAAACAGTTGGGAATAAAAGGTTCCTGTTTTCTTGGCAAGCAATGTGTTTGTTGACACATCTTTGACCATCAAAGTAACTACATGTTGTTCACTATTACAGCTAAAGATTCGGACACCCTGCATTTTGATGGCCTCATCCACAGACAGACACAGAGCATGTTCCTTTTCATGATCAGCTCCATATGCTCTCCAACCAAATTTCACAACAGACCCAAATCTTTGGCAATGTTTGAGACCACCAGTTCTTTTTATAGTTAAAAATCCCCTTGGAGGTGTACCGGAAGTGGAAAAGAAATGTCTCACTAAATCATACACTTCAAGGGGTACAAGAACTTCACTGGCAAGAATAACACTGGCAAACTCCTTTTCTTCCATTACAGGGAAACGAATGGCTGACAGTATTCCCTCACCAATTAGTTTTCGTTTTGTTGCACCGTTAGTAACTAAACCCAGTCTTTCACACTGATGCAATGCCCACTTATCCACAGCTCTAAAAAGCTCAATCTCTCCAACAGTCAAAGAATCTCTTTGCACTAATTTTTCAAGTAGAGAGCGCTCAATTGTGAAAAATTCATCCGATTGGATCGCCACTGGTGTTTGCTCATCAATTATTTCCCAGCAACGATCTATGAGTAACCTATCTTGTTGGTGGCACCGCAGAACGTGATTAAGAACACAAAACACATTTGACCCTTCTACAATTTGACGAAGATATTCAAAACACTTGCTGACCAAGGACGGTATTATATACTTTTCTGCTAAATAAAGCACTTGCAAAACATTGTTTCTGCTGAAAATGATTTCGTCACTGTACATGTAGCGAAACAACTCGAGCAAAGCATCGTACTCGCAGTCAGATAAAACAATAACGTCTAAAGTCGACTCCGCCATTGAACCATTGAACATTGCGAGGAATACGGGACTGCCAATCGACAACACAAATCTGTGAGCTGGAATTTCTGTTGTGCTGTTGTGAGACCCTGTTGTTACAAACTTCACGTCACTTAGAAGGCTGTTATTAAACATAAATTTGGTTCTCTCCCTGACCGTCGATCGTGCTGACTGCCAATTTTCTTCAGGATTCGACACTGCCATGGCGATAATTTGTGCAACTCCTGGTGGAATCTCACAGGACGCTTAATATATTAATCAATATACGGTACGCAGCTTAAACAGCGGTGTACCTACTGAAAACTGTAGGTAGGTCATATATGATTCCTGTAGTGTACCGATATACAGATTCTTACAATGCAGTCGGTTACTACTTCATGTAAACTTACATGAAGTACCGACCTGCGTGGCAGTCGTTATATTAAGAGGGTAATGGGAAGGGTAACCTGAGGTCAGGCTCTATTTTCGTTTCGCTTCGGAATTTACATTCCGGCGGGCAAGGAGAAACGAAAAGAGAGCCTGATACAACAAAGCAAACGTGAATGAGTTTGGATCAGGCCCAGTTTTAGAGCTGGCCGTTAGAGAGAATGTATGAGAACCGCTAAAATTAGACCTGATCTCACGTTAGGGAAGGGGGAATTTGAGCGCGCCCTAATTCCCTTCCCCTTCCCTTTCGAATGCCTGCCATGCACATTGCAGGCTACTAGTATACCGAGGTACTTGGCTTAGTTAGGTACTTGGCTTGCGTTAGTGTACACTGGAGCAAGCCAAGTACACTGAAGCAAGCCATGAGCAAGCCAAGTACCTAAGTAAGCCAAGTACCTCCGTACACTAGAAGAAAGACTGCACTCAAAAAAGAATCTATATATCGGTACACTATAGGAATCATATATGAAGTACCTACCCTTCAACACTGACTGCACGGAGTAGCCTGCGTAGCAGGCGTCGAAAGGCTATTAGCACATTTGAATTTTATCTCAAGTGCTTCAAACATGTCATTCACTGATGAAAACTGGTTAACAACCAAGCAAAACATCAGAGAAAGAATCAAAACATTGTTCAATAACGAATTGTTGAGCGATGTGCTGTTGATTGTCCGGAAGTCACCCGAGTCTTGCAGTGAAGATTCGAATCATGGTCTTGCTGGGGCTATAAAAAAAGGCAAAATGGAGATACCAGCTCACAAGTTCGTGTTGGCGATTAGCAGTCCTGTGTTCTTTGAGTTGTTTTATGGTCAAATACCCGAAACATCGAAGTCAGTTGAGTTCCATGACTGTGAGTATGAAGTTCTGTTGGAAGTGCTGCGTTACATCTACAGCGACGAAGCCAACTTGAGTGAAAGTAACGCGATTAAGGTTTTGCATTTGGCAAAACATTACAAGTTGCCTTCGCTCGCCGACATGTGTATTGGATATCTGAGAAAGAACGTAACTGCTACCAATGTTATTCGGATTCTTAAAGAAGCTAAAAAATATCAGCTAGAAAGTGTTGTGGGCGGCCGTTGTTGGGAAGTGATTGACAAATATACTGAACGAGTACTGAGATCAGATGAATTTGTCACGGTAGACAAAGTAGTCCTTGAGAAATTAGTGGACAGAAATTCTTTGTCTGTGAGTGAGGTAGCATTGTTTGAAGCAGTGAACTCTTGGGCAAATGAGCAATGTCAAATTCAAGGCTTTGTTCAAACAGGAAATGTGAAAAGAGAACTACTTGGAGACAAAATTGTCAGAAAAATTCGCTATCCAGTTATGAGACAAAGTGAATTTGTCAAAGTGGTACTTGACAGCAACATTCTTAACCCAAAAGAGTGCTATGAACTGATAAGGCATTATTCTTCAGTGTCGCCTTCGTCTCTGGAATTTCCAGACAAAATGCGAGTTGGATGGCAACAAGAAAGCTTATGCAGATTTGGGTCTGTAGTTGAGTATGGGTGGGTTTACAGCCCTGGCAAGGTTGACTCCATCTTTCTAACTGTGGACAAACCTATTATTTTGCATGGCATACGCTTGTGTGGCTATCAAAATGAAAACTATTCATTACACCTAAGAATAAAGGACACAAGTTCCTCATCAGATATTGTCAGTCTTAAAAGGCATTTTCGTTCACAGAAGCTACTGTACAAATCAAGTCATTACTGGGGATTTGAGGTCTTGTTTGATCTTCCTGTTGTCATAGAAAATGGAATAAGGTACTCTGTTGATGCATATATTTCAGGTGCATTTTCATGGCGTGGACAGAGTGGTGTGAGTTCTCTTCAGTGTTCTGGAGTGTGCTTTAAATTTGAAAACAGTGAACAAAGTAACAATGGCACCAGTGTCAAGAAGGGACAATTTCCTGAATTCTTGTTCTGCAAACGGTGACTTATTCTCACTTTTGGTGAATGACCATCCTTAAGACCAGGAGATTTAAAGATGATGAAATATGGGAGACTATCCCTTCAGTCATATCAGGACTTGTTAATCCTTTGTACAAACTGCTTTTTTGCCTCAGTATACAAGGTGGTTGCATGCAGGGTTGTATCCATCCACTTTTTAATGCTAAGACTACTTGTAGAGAGATTTATGTCTTGAGACAAATAAATGGGGCTATTTCATAGCATGAGTCTGTAATTTCCAGGGTAGAGTGGAGTGAGGGGGATGGGGTGAGGGGGTAGAGACATCACACCATTTCAAATATCGAGAGACTGATAACTAGTCACTTTCACCTTCATCTCTTACTTAACTGGAGAGACACAAAGAAAAGGGAAAGTCAGTATTATGTTAACATTACTTTCAAGAAAGCAGAACATGCAGGTTATTAACTTGGTAAGATCTGTATTAATTTTTATCGTTATACACCTGTCAATGTATATTTGTAAACCCCATGGGGGAAGTGTGGGAAAAGGTTGGAGTCTGATCAAACAGTAAAAATTTGGCTCAATTTCCCTGAGGTTGAGTGAGGAAATATTTTCAACAAATATTAGCAAAACTCCCCACCCAGAGGCCTTTTCCTTTTATTATGAATGTCAAAAACCTGTCACATCTCCCTTCTGAGGAAACAGGATGTGTGACCTTCAGTATGTCTCCATAAAAAGCATTGCTACAAACAAATTTCTACTTCAAAATTTTTGTTAACATTGTTATGGTAAAACGCTTTCTGTAATCTCCCAAAATGAGTGAAAGTATAAACACCTTTCATTAAACTTGTCTCCTAGGTCTGGTTCCTGAAAGGCTGATTAGTGTTAATCCAGGATTAAAATTTTGTTGTGTTTTTGTTTTTGACATTCCTATGCATTGCTCAGGGTAACATTTTGTGTTATCATTACTGTATCTCGTAGTAAAGGCTCATCAGTATTTTATAAGCTCGAGTTGCATGTTCTTAGACGTGAAAACCGTGCTTCAAATTTTGCTTAATTCTGGGTTAAACTAAACCATATTTCAAGGAACCGGGCCCTGATATATTTGTTTCATTCATATATGAAAGACTTGGTACTTCTATTAAATATTTCATTAGAGTGGAACACTTCTATTACAGGGACTCCTCCATTCAGAGGACACAAAATCTGGTCCTGGAAAGGGGGAAAGGGATAACCTTTTCTGGGTTCGGAAACTTGGGTTTAAGGTGATTCACTGGGTTTGCACTCTGCATCTCTTACTACGCATAACAAGATGGCCACCGTAAAAGAGAGAGACTGAAGTAACATTATTAAAATGAAGTTGACTGAAGAGAAACGCTATTAGAATTTTCGCTTGTGGTTTTTTCTTGCCGAGGTAAGACTCAATGTGTTGGGAATGTGCATAACGTAAGCAGCATGCGTGTTGCTGAGTTTAATTGCTCACATGGACCTCATGGAGAACCTCTCCGAGTGGATGTTAAACTTGTACTTACTAACTTTGATTTTCATTTAAACGCTTTCTTTATCAAATTGTGTCCTAACTGTGATATTTCGATGTAAATTCTGTAAAAACGGATTTTTTATTACTCAGCTTTCCCCTTTCACATGCAATTTTGAATCTCGCCCCAGTCCTCTCTCAAACATCGGAGAAAATGCGTTTGGTGCGCACTTTCTGCAGCTCTACGGCAAAAACGAGCACTGTGACCCCTATTTTGTTTTTCATGATTTTGATAAGGACAGTGCTTCCTTTCGATGAGGAAAAAATTTGCACAAATCTATGTTCAGTTTTTTGGCAATTTTACTAAATTGTACGGATTGAGCTATCGCAGGTCGAATAGCTCGTGTCCAATTTAATTCTAATTTGGAGAAAAAAAAAACAAGGGCATTAAAAGGCATTTTCAAGTACGTAAGTGGATAAACAATACATTAAAGTCAAATTCATCGAAAAAAATCTCTCCTTCTTGTCCACTTTTGGGCTGCGCGTGGTTTTTGTCAAAGGGTCCTAAATAGCCGTATTTGTCAGCATTGTGATGTCAAAACGAGCACGATGACTCATTTTTTTTATTACTTTTTTATCATCTTCTTGACTTGTTACACACAAAAAACAAACAAAAGATAGAAATTACAGTTTTCTGGTTGTTTATTACCGATTTAATTCATAATACTCGCTGATTTTATCTCTTCTTTGCGTCTACTCCGTAGACGAGATATGGGTGGGGAGGGGGGGCACGGATGAAGTACAAGAAAATTCCTGCCAAATTTTCCTACCAAAAAAATTCCGCAATAGAAAATTTCAGCCCCCAAATATGTCTCTTTAAACTCCGTATAATAAGCTGGCATTGCGTCTTTTTTGTCAATGACCTTTTTGTGTTTATCGTAAGGTGACACTCGTTCCCGTAAGAGGTCTTGGCGCGGAAATTCACGTAACTAAATCGCAATTTCATTGGCTGTTTATGGCATTCCGCGAATGCATTGGCGCGTATCGTCTTTCTGTTGGCGAATTCCCGATCGGTCGCTCGCTCGGAACTTCTTAGAGGCCAACTGGCGTTGCGAAAAGATTTTCGTTTTCCTAGTTCCTTCAAGTGCCTGGTATCCCTTTCAATTTTTTTCCAAGCCTGCTTTGGACACTTCCAGCCTACCCGATTCGGTAGTTAGAGAATTTTGTTTTCTTTATATTCGAATTCAACGCCGTGGTTGTTCATTTCACCTCATGTCTTTGCGCAAGGTTTGAGCTTTCACCAGATTTACCTTTTATCGATTTGGTTCTATCTAATTTCTGTTTTAAGGTAAGATATGTCACCTCATTATTTGCGATCTGTTTATCTGCAAAATCTCCTTTCTCTGAAACCAGCGAGATGGTTCAGCGATCGTACATGCGTGACCACCGAATGAGTTCACCTCTGATGATTTGTCTTATTATTAAAAAGTGTCTGCTCTATTGATAATTTATCAAGTACTGTTTAACAAATTTGCTGTTTATCCTTTTGTCTAGGATTGAAGTCTTGCCCGAGAAGACAACGTTTCTGACCTGAATTGTGGGTAGCACGTTCGAACATTTGTTTTACCACTTCAATCAGATTCTTCGGTTTCCACGTGTAAACAATGGCTAAGTTATGCTTTGTACTGCTAAGTGTCGGTAAGTTGTCTGAAATTGTTATAGACTTTTCATATCTTAACGCCGTCTTAGTATGGTTAGTTCATATCAGTACCTTTATGAAATACCGCTTTAGCCCCCCACATCATTTGGAAATCAGTAATCGTATATTTTGTGTTGAGAAACTTGAACGGTTTTTTCATTATCATAGACCTCATGCAGTAAGGATTTAATGCCTTGGGCGGTTTTATGGCTGCCGCAATAATTAGCTTTGTCCCAGTATGAAATAATTGCGTGAGTTATTAAAAGCTTAAACACTCAGAGACTTCACAACGTGATATTTTTTGTGTTGTATTAATTCGAAAGGCGCGATGTCCAAGAATTTTTGTGGTTTCCTGTACGACGTTCACACCCTGGTACCATATACCATACTTGTGAAAATGTAAATGTAAAAATAATTTGTCACCCAAGCCTAAAAGAAAGCCACAAAACGGCCCATAACTTGCCTCATTCCCCACAAAAAATTGTGTTTTTCTAAACAAGCTACTTTGACAAAATGAAAAACTTGATGGAGGGTTTGAAAAGGGGAAGGCAAGGGGAGGGGAAGGTATTTGCTCAAAAATGCTTAGAATGATCATAAGTAGATGTAACAACCAGCCGGAGATGTCTGTTCTAAAGTAGGGTGTACACTGCATATATGACATTTGCAAAGATCGGGTATGATAGTTTGAGGACACAACAACTTAACCCTATCATTTATGATGGAAATGAACACCCTATCAAGAATGCGAAAATGAAAATCTGAAAATAATGTATAAATACAATGTGGTTTTATGTGAGGGGAAGGGGTCATGATCTTTTTTCAGTGCAAACTGGCCAACTTGAGCCTCTTTTTAAATAAAGTTTATATCATTTCTTTCTCTCTGCCAGTTTACCAAGTAATGAGTCAAAATCCATGTGATAAACGCAGCTGTTATCCAGCCACTGGTGATCTTATGATTGGTCGAGCTGATCAGCTGTTTGCATCATCCACTTGTGGAATGATTGAAGCAGAGGATTACTGTATTGTGTCACATCTCCTTGATGATAATGAGTGTTTTGTCTGTGATGTGAACGAAACTGAGAACAATCATGAGCCCAGGAAAATGATCTCAAACTTTAATGGGAAAAAAGAAAAGACCTGGTGGCAGTCAGAGAATGCTGTAGAAGAAGTGTATATCCAGGTAAAAAGCGTAGCACAGAAAGTTGTAATTTCCTTTTTAAACTCCTGAGAGTTTAAAGAGCAATATACATTGAATGGAAAATCTTCAAGTAACAATGAAAGCCACCACATTAAATTATAGTTTCCCTTGAATATTGCCTCTGGAGCCTGCTCACAATTTTCTAAAATTTTGGCCAACAGGAAGGGTGGCAATCAAGGAACTAAAGACACTAGAAAGTTCTACTCCAATATAAAGGGACAGTGTTAGTTTTTGGTTCAAAGCTTTCATTTTGAAGATAGAAATAGTTGAACTGACTTGAAGGACTCTAAACAACAGAAAGTCATTAGACAATGTCTGACAGAACTAATCCCATTGTCTGAAGAATTCTCACTTGTGATTGAACATGATCTAGCTAGCTCCTTTATAGATTATTAGGCCTTAATTTTAAGTTCTTTTCCCCAAAGGTCTTTGTTTTCGAGACTGCATTTTTAAGATCGGATCATCACTACCTAATGGTGAAACAATATGGCTAAACATAAGGGCCATGCAATGTCTTTTGAGTAGAGTGAAAATGCTAACCCAGGGTTGTCAAAAGTAGCTGGCTACCGGCAAAAATCGCCACCTACTTGGTTAGTATCGGCCTGCTACTCTGCTTGGCATTTCTTTACGGATGGCCTCTTTTTAAATAAAATATCCCTGGACTGGCTACTTACTTTGACAACTCAGCCATCTACTTCAAAACTTTGTGACAACCGTGTAATCAGAAATACAATGTTACTATTACAAAAGTATGGAGAACAGTGGCAAAGAATAATAATAATAATAATAATAATAATAATAATAATAATAATAATAATAATAATAATAATAATAATAATAATAATAATAATAATACCATGTATTAATTTAGTCAAAATTATTTTTAGGATTTGCAGTATAAAGAGGTTGCCAGGGATTGCAAAAGAACTTACAGAGATTACAGTTATGCAACCTCAGACACCTCGTTAACACAGCCACTTCTCTTGAGATACCAGAAATATCAAACTTACAATCCCTCTGATCCCTAGACTGACACAGACACTTCTGTAATTTGTGGATACTTGGTTCTGGCCCTTTAGTGTCCATATTAAGGAGATCTGACTATAAGAGTTGAACCTCATCTTATAGACACCTTCATAAAACAGACACCTCTGTATTACTGCACAGACAGTTCTTCTGTTCTCAAAGATTCAAAAGTTCATGGCGCAGTTCCTTCCTCGATAGTGGGGCCCCTGTAATGTAGTCAACTGGGTGACGTGTCTCTTTTGCACTACCTTATTTAGTACATGTAGGTCTGACTATCATTTTTTTGTCATCAGCTGAACCTTGAAGCTCAGTTTCATTTCACTCATCTGGTGATGACCTTTCGTACATTTCGACCGGCTGGCATGTTAATAGAGCGCTCCTGGGACTATGGTAGGAATTGGAATGTGTATCGTTATTTTGCTGCTGACTGTAAACAGACTTTTCCTGGTATCCCTAACAAACCGCAGGAAGATGTTGATGATGTCATTTGTACAGAGGATTTCTCTTTAGTGGAGCCATCATCAAATGGAGAGGTGAGAAATAATGTGAATGAACAGAGATGAACAATGTTGATGTAAATTGGTGTAACTATGTGAGTAAATATATGTTATCTAGAGCACTGCAGCACAAACACAGAGGCCAAGGTTTTGAATCCAGTTGAAGTCCCAAAATTTTTTTCAAGTTTATTTGCAATTGCTTAAATTGCAATTACCTCTGCAATGACGATATCTTCATTTAACATTTGTATTTCCGCAGTTCACATTATTTTCATGTTTCGTTCCTTTTGTGGGTTAGGATTAACTCAACAAATTGGCCTGCTCCCAATTTTTCTTAACAATTCTCTACAATTTTTTTTATTTCAGTTATACTTAGTTTTAATAAGTAAAAAACAAAAAAAATTGAAACTGTGAAAGGTTTGAACCCAGGAGTCATTTCAAAAGGGTGAGTTTGATCATCCGGGTGAACGTAGTCCTGAATAGGACTGTTGTTGTTGACAGTGACTGACGTTTCGACGACCTGTGCAGTAGTCATCTTCAGAGTCAAAGTGAGTTGTATCACGTCAGTTGATGGTATTATACTTTGGTTATTGATCTGATTGGTCAATTATGTCGCGATGTTATTGGTCGTCTGTCAGTAGTCAACAGTTACCAGCGCCGTACAAACGACTTATTGACGAGATCAAGCAAAACTAACTACGAGAGAACAACTGGAGAACTAACAATTTGACTAACAATAGACTACTGTTTAACTGCGACAATAGACGGATCGAAACGCACCAATCACTGATTACGAGTCTTCATAGCCAATAACATCACGGCTTAACTGACAGACAACCAATAACATCGCGACATAATTGACCAATCAGATCAATAACCAGAGTATAATACCATCAACTGACGTGATACAACTCACTTTGACTCTGAAGATGACTACCGCACAGGTTGTCGAAACGTCAGTCACTGTCAACAACAACAGTCCTATTCAGGACTACGTTCACCCGGACGATCAAACTCAACCTTTTGAAAAAAAATTGAGTTCATACATGCACTGTGCTCTTTTTGTGGATTTTGCTTATTTTTTATTGTCATTTTTTAGCGATATGATCTCAAATCTCTGAGTCATTACTCTTGTACAAAATGTTCATCATCATCCACAATAAACAAACATGGTGCTTCCATGTAGACCAGTATGTAAAGAAAATAGTGGCCACTAGCTTGAGGCCTTATGGATTTTACTATCAAGCTAGTGAATTATGTTCTTAACTTGCCCAATGGGCAAATGAAGTCTTTTGGGGAATTCAAATTACAGGATAACTGTCTTAAAAAATTTTTTTTTCGGACTAGATGAGATGACTTTTGGGCTAGTACATACATGTATGTGTAGCTACAGCTTGCCCAAGTAGTGAGCTGTGAAACTGACATTCTTTGCCCCAGTAGACTAAAAAACAAAGTTTTGTTTTGTCTTTTATCATCAACAGGTTATCTTCAGAGCTCTTAATCCTCAGATCCCTGTCAAAGATCCTTACAGTGAAAAAGTCCAGAACCTTCTAAAAGTGACCAACTTGCGAATCAACTTTACCAAACTGCACACCCTTGGCGACTTAGTACTGGATCCTACCAAACCAGACACCAAGCTGAAGTACTACTATGCTGTTTATGATCTTGTCGTCAGAGGAAGCTGCTCATGTTATGGACATGCTGAACAGTGTCTACCACTTCCTGGTGAAGCCAGTATTCCTGGTATGGTAAGTCCCCCAGGGGAGCTGGACAAGAGGACAGGGTAGTGGGGAGTAGGGGTTGCGTGATGGGGGAGGGGCTTAGAGAGGGGATGGTTGTTGTCAGTTAACAAAGGTGCATAATACAGAGTATAAAATTAATATATTGGGAATCGCAAAATGAGATAGTGAAAGGATGCAGCTAGACTGAAAAGAGGAGAGACTGGATGCTTAGGATTCCCTAGCTAACTTGATGATGACTTTGTAGTTTGTTCAAGGTTAGATTCAGCTTGTATCCTCTTTTTCTTAAAAGGTGTATGGAAAGTGTGACTGCACGCATAACACAGAAGGAAAAAACTGTGAAAAGTGTAAAATGGGGTACAATGACACACCCTGGAGACCTGCCACAGCTGATGACTCATTTGAATGTAGAAGTGGGTATTTCTGTAGAATACTACTACTACTAATAATAATTATAATAATAATAATAATTTATCATCATTATTTTTTATATGATTAGTTAATTCTTTTATTATCCCCTGGATAATATAAATATACTATACCCTCATTTATTTGTTTTACGCAAGTGGTCCAGTACAGTCTATTGTAGATGCTCATTTACTGTAAGTACGTTTGAAACTCATTTGGTCACTGACATTTTGAAATCCTTAGTTTACTTGGATTTTTACAGAACCACACACAAACACAAATAAGAAAAATTTAACGACAACATTACACAGCCACTTATGTGTGTGTCACCTCAGTGAACTAACTAACTTTCTATATATAAGACTATTTAAGACTATTTATTAAGAATTTATTTATCAATTTAACTATGTATAGATAAATGTGGATGTTTACTGGTGCAGATGGTACTAGATGTGTGAAGGTCTTGCACATTCTATGTCTTCATATCAAAATGGAAAAAGACAATTTCAGACCAATTCTGGCTAGTTTCACTTTGATTTGTAATGTGATTCCTTTTATTCAGAATACGTTGGTGTCACTAACAAACTCTGAAAGATTTTAAGAATGTTGAGCATGCCAGGACAGACAAGACACATTTTAAAACCACATGACAGACACACAAAAAAATTTTTTCATACCTATTTAACTGCTTTACAATTATTTATTATGGCTGATTATTCTCAACTTGAGCTGTAAAGTAAGGAGAATTTTGTTTTATTATCTGATAGAGTGCGACTGTAATGGCCATGCTGAAGAGTGTCGATTTGACCCTGCTGTGTTTGCGGCCTCTGGCAATGTTAGTGGAGGAGTCTGTGTTAACTGTATACACAATACTGTTGGCCGCAAGTGCGAAAAGTGTAGGCCTTTGCATTACCAGGATCCTACTAGAGACTTTAGAGAACCCGATGCTTGTATTCGTAAGTATTTGTAATATGTTATGATAAAATTATGACAAAAAAATAATTAATTTTGTTTTGTTATGATAGCTCTGTATTTTGTTATGAGCCCCTCCTCTTTAATCGGTAGTCATTTTCGGGACAGCTGTGTTTTAGTTTCAAAGGATCTTAGCAAGATTTAAGGGTTTTGAAAGGGTATAAAAAAACAGGTTTGTTTTATTTTTGTTGTTGGATGAAGTTATTCCCATTCATGTCTCAATACTTGCTAAGGTTTTCTAATTTATTCCTTTTTCTCATCATGCTACTCTGCTGTTCTCAGTGGTGGATCCAGGGGAGGGGCCCGGGGGGGAGGCCCCCTTATTGTTAGACAAAACTGAGGCCTGAAGGGCCGAAAAAATCTTTTTCTCAGACTGCCCCCGCCCCACCCCCATCTTTGGGTCTGGATGACCAGGCCCCTCCCTTATCTGAAGGTCTGGATCTGCTGCCACTGGTTCTTTTTATTCACCCCTTTTTAATTTATTTTTATTTATTTAACATGTTTTAAAACCTTTTTATACATTTTTGAACTTTTTAAAGCATCCTTTGACTTTTTACATCATATAGAATAAAAAGAAATTAAAATTTTCTCTGGTTGAGATCACCGACAATGAACATGGTGCACAAACATGTTATAGCAAATTTAGAAAAGTTTAGATATTATCGTAAACGGGGAATCAACCCAAAATTTCTATTTTCTGGATCCCATTAGAGCATAACAATAAATTATGACATAAAAATGCAATAAAAATTTTGCAATAAAACATATCACCAGCAGCTAGGGGTTCCAGTTGTGTTTTTTCAAAAATCATTTAAGGACATTATTGTCGTAATTTACAAGTCTATTAAAAACAACGAATAGTGTTGGCTAAATTTTCCAACTGCTTCAAACGTGGAGAGAGGCACGCATCATGTTGACATGACTGTGTATGAAGATAGATGTGTCATATTTTGTCGAGGCGAGTGCTTTTATACGTAGCAGTACAGAGCAGAGCTGGGGCGCTTTCCATTTGTCAGAACTGACCGGCCAAACCATTCCCAAGCCAATGAGAATTTCCATTTTAATCAAATGTCTCCAGCCAGATCAGTCAAAACCTAAGTAGAAATGGTTTTGTTCAGCACAAACTCTTACAAAAAGCGTATTTCATAATCAAACTGACTGGTCGGGCAATGGTCCGGCCGGCCAGTTCTGACAAATGGAAAGCGCCCCTGGTATCCAGAGGAGTTCACAATCCTAATTTGCAGGGCGGGGTTGTTTAAAGATGGGGTAAGATAACCCAGGGTTAGTGCAAAATTTGAATTCAGATATGAAAGCTTAAATAGCAAAATGGATTGAATTCTGTTCGTCTACACTTTCGTGATCGGATGCCCTAAAAAACAGCGAAAATTATCCGAGAAAATGCTTTTGAACGAAAGAAAAAGAAACCTGGATTGAAATTTAACCCCGAATTAGCGCTGATCGGCCTTCAAACAACTGGGTCCAGGTTGCTATTACGCGTGCGCGGCACATCTGGGGCCAACTTTCGTTTAAAGTTCTTCAAGGAAAAAATGAAATGCAAAAAACTCTTGTTTTGACCTTCCTTCTTCGTACTCTTGACTTGCGCGGTTTTGCCGTGACTTTAACGCGAAACTTACGCAGTGTTGACGCAGGAGCGTTTTGACCTTTGGTACACTCTCTAACCTTAGGTTACTACTTTAGCTTTATTGTGTGTTGTAGCTTAGCATTGTAAACAAATCTTATCTTTTTTCTTTCTTATCTGCAGCATGCAACTGTGATAATGTGGGAGGGGTGAGTGGTGGTGAGTGCGAAGGTAGAAATGACGTTGATTTGGTTGCTGGTCGATGCATCTGCAAGAAGAATGTCGGTGGAAACAGGTGTGAAAAGTGTAAACAAGGCTTCTGGAATTTACAAGAATCCAATCCTGATGGCTGTGAAGGTAATAACCTTTTTCTTTATTAGGCGACATGGTAGATAGAGCCCTCAAAATGATATAATTAAATAACTTATGCATCTATAGAAGACACAACAAACTAACAAATAAGAACGCTATGAAAAAAAACTTGTACTTCTAAAGAAAGGAGAAAAAGACCTCGTTTGATCTCCATGTATACCGATTATTCACCGAAGTGGAGTTTGCTTGTGGTGGAAATTTACCCGGCCGCAAATATACACCACTAGCCACTGACACTGAGGTGAATAATCGGTGTTTTATGGAGGACGTAACCAAAAGATGACGAAATTTTGTCTCTCTTTCGTAACTTGAATAAAGTTCTTGGAAATTCAGCTCTTACGAGAGTTCGCCTACATCTGACAAAGTGAGTTGGAAGAATCGCGATGAAGATTAAAAGAGCGCGAATTCACTTTTTTAATATGCAACGTTTTCGTCGCCGTCATCTTTAGGTCCGATTAATTAGGCTTGTGTATAGTAATAACAAACTTTGCATTACGAGTTTATTTAGTATTTTCAGGGCTGAAAGCTTGATAACAGAAGGTAAAAAGTAGGACCGGTCCGTAAAAGCCTTTTTCAAGGCTGTCCACGTTGGCGGCTCTTATTTTCTCTGTCACAGTGAAATTCTTCAGCTCACTTGCACTTGAGAATTCTGTTATCTGTTAGAGCTGAAAACTCCTTTTGACTGCTTTCTTATTGTTTCTTAGTACTTTCAAACAGATGTTCATTGTCTCTACTATTTTATTGGTTTCCGAGCACAGGCGTGCACAAACTTCCCGCTTACAAAAAGATCTACCACAATGCACCATAGGCTATCAAACGTGGATCATACATCATGTTTCACGGGAGCAATCTTAACTGAAATAGGTGTATACTGCATAACCCTCCGAGATCCCCATAATTCTTCAGATAATACTTCAGCCTCATTCAATAATTGTTAATTTTTCATATTTCAATCTCGTTCCCAGGGTCTTCTCCTACTTGTCTCTCTCTCGCTCTGGGGGACGAGTAGGAGAGGACCCTGGGAACGAGGTTGATGCAATTTTTAAATTTTAGCAATGATTCTCGCACTAGAAGCTGCCATAGGCTTAAGCTTCTTGAACCTTACTGTAAGCTGTTTATTCAACCGTTTCAAACCAACTGATCGGTCGGTGTTTCTCCCAGCCAAATACTCTAAAAAGAATTATGCCACTTTATTACGTTTCGTCTGTCGCGTGCGTTACCCGAGGTCACATTGCGGAACCTTTATACCCGAAGATCATTGGTCGGCCTCTTGGCCCGTCAACCTATCCGTCCGCGGGCCTACTGTTGCATACATGTAGTTGTAATCAAGAAGCAAGCAAGTTAGTTAGGGGGAATGGTAGTAAAACCATGTAGTACTAGTACTTAATAAGAGTTCCATTCTGGCACCGTTGCATCTGAAACTATTTTGAGTAACTTAGAGGTGATGTCAGTTACCAATGTTAAAGATAGTGAGCGAAGATAACTTTCGTGAAGGATTATTATTTTATTTACCTTTTCAGCTTGTCAATGCAACAGTCTTGGTACATTAGGTTTTTGTAATCCTAACGATGGAAAGTGTACTTGTAAGAGGTTTGTTATGGGAGCAAGATGTGATCGCTGTCAGGTGAGCAGAAGTGTATACCGGTATGATATTTCAGAAGCTCTGAGAAAGTTTCGTTTAAACGTTTTTTTTTTTCTCCATGAGTTGCCCCCACCCCCGCTATAAACTAACACTTTTAATGCGTTAAGTGTTGGTGGAATAGGTGGAAACTAGCTCGCAACTTAGATGGTATCGCATTTGAAAACTGTATAGTTGAATTTGCGCGGTATAAATAAATGTTATTGTAATGTTATTGGTGTATTCTTCACGTAGAATCACGCACCACGGATCGTGTTTCACACATTACCTTTCATTTTGCCTCCACACCCTTGGCACTCTCGGAGGATCTGTGTCAGGAGCCCATTTTCACATGCCTTTTTATTTTTGTATTCAGCCTGGTTACTGGGGCCTAAGCGATTCTTCTTTTGGATGCGCGGCTTGTGAATGTGACATCGGCGGTAGCTACCAAAGAAACTGTGAACAAATCACAGGTCAATGTCGATGCCGGAAGGGTATCACGGGAAGGAAGTGTGACCAAGTGCAGACTGGAAACTTCTTTCCATTACCAGACCATTTGAAGTACGAATCAGAGGAAGCTAAAGTGGTTGGGGTATGTAGACCTCTCAATAACTATAACAGTAAATCTTAATTACGCCTTACTCTCCAAAGGGAGGATTGGACTGTTTATAGTCGAAAATAGCATTAACTAAGTAATGGATAGTTACAAGAATTATAAGGCTAGATAGGAATCAACGCGTTGAAGTTCCTATCTTACTGTCGGTAATTTTTTTTAAAATATAGTTTGCCTGCAATAAAAAAAAACGACAAGTAAGTTCTCATTTTGTTCACGAAAAAAAAGTCGGTAGTTCGATTTTCCCTTTTCAGTGTATAACAAGATGAAGCAAAGTATCGGCCAAATGTATTTAGTTAGCATCACCTCACTTATTGTATTGTTGATCCGATTATTGTATAAATGATTCATAAGGCGAATTATTCTTGAAGTTGTAACAACGGTTTCTCTAAAATACAAAGTGATGATAATGTTGGTAATGATGACGACGATGATGAAGAACAAGGTAGTAGTGGTGGAAGCAGTGGTAGCCATTAAATGATCGCCAGGTTTCACATTACAAGAAGGAGTAGAGGGAGGATTAGCATAATTGCTTAGGGCGTGACCTTCTGGGCAGGATGTCCCGATTTCGATTCCCATTAATGACCTCAAATCCTTCTTTTTACTTCCTTCCTTTCCGTGTAGCTTGAAGTAGCTTTGTAATAGAGCTTTGATGGAGAGAGGGACGTAAAATGAGCCCACCGTTGGCCTCAGGTTCTTTAGTCAGATGACTATTTCGAGCTGCCGACTCTTTACCTTGACCTTTGACTCAACATGGAGCCAAATCCATTTTTATCTCTCCTATTCTCCTCTTCGTCAATTCTCATACAAACACACGAAAATTCGGGTAATTTCAGTACTTGTTAATTCTCGGGATTTAAATTTGCGATGTTTCCTTGACTGTTACAGGGCCAGCAAAACGGGAAAGTTGTCCCGCGGGAGCCAACGCCTGGAGGAGTCACTTGGACAGGAGATGGGTTTACTGAAGTAAAGGACAATACAGCTTTAGAATATGCTGTTACTAACGTACCATACACTGGAGAATATAACATCTTAGTGAGATACGAGCCAAAGGTAGGGACTTCTTGGTTAGTTTGCACGCGATTGAGGGCTTTTCCTCCTTTTTCTTTTTCTTTGCTTACACTGTCACCGATTCAGGGCTACACACAGGGCACAGGGGAGTTATTTGTGACCTTGTCTGCAGTTACATTTAACAGTTGATACCGCTTATCGCCTTTGTTTACAGTAGAATCGAAAATGAACATTACCTGTTTTCTGTCGCATTGGATAACATTTTTCCTGGTTTGTAACACGATCACTTGATGGTTTGATCGGTCTATTCGATTCGACAGTAAACAAAGGCTCTTCGCGCTATCGACTGTAAACTTTAACTGCAATCAAGGTCACAAATAACTCCTCTGCGCCCTTTGGGCTGCACCGCTGTCCTATTCAAGGCTTCCTGGGTGATCTTATGCACACAGTTTCGCAGATTCTCAGATTTTGTCTGATTCTTGTGTCAGGAGACTAAGCTAAAATGTACGCTTGCAGAAAAATTAACTATAATTCCTTTTTTAGGATTCTGGGGTGTGGAAAGTAGATGTAAACATTCAGCGCATTGACGGACAGCCAATGACCAGCGGTGAATGTGTGAACGCAACTAACGCTGACGACCCAGATTACGGGAATTTCTCTGCAATCTTGACCACTCCTGAGCGCTATGTTTTGATGCTTCCTAGCGTGTGCTTGGAGAAGGACGTGTCTTATGTGGTGCAGGTTACATACAGAAGGCATGCATCCAATACAGGTGGAGCTGATACTATTTTAACTGACGCGGTAAGAGTTGGTTCCAATGTACCAGAGAAAGCTCCTCGGTTAGTGTCCATTCCCTGAAAGTCCCGGTAACTGATCGGGCCCGATGTTAAATGTTCCAGTCAACATCTTAGAAATATAAGCGCAGGTCCCCGCTAACAAACCAGTCCGTTTTGTTTTGTAACCTAGAGTTTTTTCATATCATCTGCAAAACCAGTATCACAACCTTGACCTTGAATGTAAAACAAGAACAGCTTCCCGGGTCCATTAATTCTCGCGAAGCGAGTTTATAATCTCGTCGCGCGCGAAGTGCATGTACTGTGCGTGGTCTTAGCGACCTGCAAAGTCGGCCGGCCCATATACAGCTATTTCGAGAAAGGTTGTCGGAAAATGTACAGCTGCCTCGTGAGGCTCTGCGATTCACGTATTTCTAGTTATCAAGGCTTGCGCGAAGCGGGCCCTGGTTCTTTAACAGTTACAGTCAAATCTGTGTTAGCTGGTCTTCGCTTGGGGAAGATTAAAATGACCACTTAAGATCTAGCTTGCAAGCAAGTTCTCTGGAGGTCTCTGGGGTCGCGGGAGAAAAAATATGAGTTTCCCGTCCCCGTACACAGAGGCCCCCAAAGAGCTTGCATGCTGGCTGACCTTGAATTGGAGATTTACCAGCCCTAAAATATCACGTTGATCAAGAAGAGAAGGTATCCTAAATGTATCTTATGACTTTTTCGATGAAAAAGGTGAAGTTAAGACCAAAACATATCCTTTTGAGAACTGAGAAAAGGTAATGGCGACTGCTTGATAGAGAAGAGGCGACCGACTCTCTTTAGTGAAGAGGTAGCACTCAAGACGTTAGCTTTTCAATCTTTTTATATGATACTAAGGCGACTTCAATTATCGATTTTTTTTTATAAAACCTAATTGGGGGTTTCATCTCCTTTGTCGAAACACTACAGTTTCTTTTAAAACTTTATCGGATCAGTTTTACGTATCAGATAAAAATAACAATTAATAGTGTTGTAACTGTGTATTTCAAATGACTTCTTCAGTTATTACGGTAATTGTAAGGTTTAACAAAGTTAAAACCCATTGTCTTTTAGATGGTGCTTGTACCTCATGCGGAATCAGTGTCGATCTTCCAAGGTCCTGAAGGAGAACAAAGAAAGAAGCAGTTTGACCGGTTCAAATGTTTGGGGTATCACCTCGCCCAAAACACGTCACGCCCTGATCTCCCTGATGTCTGTAAACAGCTCATCTTTGCCATGTCCTCTGTTATCTACGATGGTGGGAAACGTAAGTAACTTGTGAGAAATATCTTATAAATGGGCCATGCTAAGAGTATTGGACAACACGAGTATCCATAGCAGACTGACTGGTTTTGCAGAGATCTCGGCCTGGCTCATGGTAATCGAGCTGTAATGTCAGGATCCTGGCTAACTGGGCTGAACGTTTTCCAGGTAATTGCATATACTGGGTCAGCCCAGCAAAGCCTGCACAAATAACGGGCTGAGTGCACTGCGGAATGATTCTCACCACCAAGGAGCAAAGATTGGCACAGTTGGTTACCGCGCCGCCTTCTGTGTAAAAGGTTTCGAGTTCTTTCCGTTCCGCGTGCTTTTGAAGCTGCCCGTAAAACGGACCAATGATAGAAAGAGGAGAGCTAAAATGAGCGCACCGTTGTCAACAGGTTTGCTAGTCAGACAATGATTATTTCGAGCTACCACCTTACAGTACACTTTTTGGATCAATTTATGGTTTCTGATAAACTTCCCACCTACCCCTCCCCTAAGTCAACATTTTGCCTTAAGTGAGAATTAAGTGTTAATGTTTGCTTAGGGGAGGGGTAGGTGAGCAGTTTCCGAGAAACCTAAATTGAGCCCACTTTTTACCGTACCTCTTTACCTTTTTGAAAAAGCGGTGCGTCACCAAGAAGAAAGTATCACATTTCGTTTCCGAGCGAACTGAGTTACCGACAAATTTATCTTACTTTCCCTATGACCAGAAAACTGAATGAATAGAAAAATTATGAACGGAGCCAACTGCAGTCTTAGTCGTCGGCTGGCTCGCCTCATGTACGTGTAATACCTTCTCGGGTAACCGAGCCAGTCCGGCTCATATAATCGGGTACTTTTTCGTTTTCTCGGTAGTCGAAGAATGATGATTTATAAGGTCCATACAGTGTACATATTGTTAAATCAGCAGGGTAAGGAACGCATCAACGGTCGAATATTTCCTTTATCAATCTAAGAACACCTTGATGTTATCCGTGAGTGCTACGACTTAAAGTTAAGCGTCAAACATCCTCTGCCCTTCATGTCACCCAAACACTATTGCAGTCTCACGTTGGAACTTCTACATTTCAGCAAGTCAAGACAGACCTCTTGTGATACATTTTTTGAAACTTCTTTTTCCAGCGTGTAACTGTGATCCCACGGGAACTAGGAGGGACGAGAATGGGACTCTGATTTGTGACGCTGTTGGAGGTCAGTGTGAATGCAAAGCGAATGTGATTGGTCAGAGGTGTGACCGCTGCGCACCTGGATCATTTGGATTCGGCTCAGAAGGTTGCACTGGTAAGTGAAACTCAACTATAAGTATCTTCTGCGTTGGAAAGACAGCCATCGATTTCATGGCAGACACAGCAAACAGGCTCAAGAATCAAGGCAGAAAATTAACACCTACTGACAGTACACATGATATGGAAATAAAATTTCTACAAAACTAATTTATGTCCACGCTTGTACCGTTATAGAACGTATATCATAAAAGAAAATTCAAAGTTCTCTTTACAGGAAAAGTCCTTTGTGAGGTGCCTGTTTCTTTTTTCCACTGTACGAACGCCATTTTTTTCTTCTTGATTTGGTCGGCGTGCTTCCTGTTTCGTCCATGAATAGCGGGAAAAAAAACCTGGCCCTGAATTTCAGTTTGGACCTTAAACGTGGCTAATGAGAAGTATTTTATGTCGTGTATTGATATTTAACATAGTTTTGTAGACGGATTTTTTTCCCCAACAGTGGCGCTCTCGGTCGCCGCTTGATCGATATCAAACAGTACTGTCTGCCAAAAGTGTAGTAGTTAGCAACCCTGCAAAACCCACGACATCAAAGGTTGTTGTTTTGTTTTGTTTGTTTTTATGTGCCCCACCTGTGTAAAACAAGTCACTTTATGATAAGGCTGTAACTAAGCTATCCATTTTGAGTGCCGAACGTAGAGAGCCACTGGAAAACAGGCGAGTGAACGGCGCGTCTTCTCTCGCATGATGCTCGCGCGTAACCTCCCACGATACAGGAAAAACCCGCGACTAAGAACGTGCATTTTCCTAAAGTAGCCCAAACAGGTTCTTAAATAATTGGTAATTAGCACGTATTTAGGCTACTTTAGGTACTTAAATAGGTTCTTATTTTCTGAAGAAAAATAAAGCGTGGTAGTTATGAGTATGTAGCGGTATTCAGCTTATTCCTTATATAAAATGTGCATCCCAAATTAGAATTTATGTAAATAATGAATCTGAGAAGAAGGACTGAAGCGCGTGAATTATGACCACACACCACCACATGAATTTTGAAGTCCTTTTGCCCACGTTTACAGAATTATTATTATTATTATTATTATTATTATTATTATTACCCAAAGCACAGCATTGGAGCAATAGCGTTTTGACCTTCGATTGTTGTCGCCCGCACTCCGTAACCTTTGGTTATTACTAGTTTATTGATCTATTTATTCATTATTATTATTATCTTTTGTTGCCAAGGTGATTAGTCATTATTGATAAAATATTCACTTTTTTATTCCTCAAGGGTGTGAGTGCGACTCAGTCGGCGCTTCGGACAATCTCTGCGACATGCAGACTGGACAGTGCGCCTGCAGGATCAAGGCCGGCGGTCGCCAGTGTAACCTTTGCCCTCCACGTAACTGGGGATTCCCAATGTGCAGACCATGTCGCTGTAATAACCACGCTTCATCCTGTCATCCCAAGACAGGAGTCTGTATCGACTGTCAGCACAACACTGACGGCAAGAACTGTGAAGTTTGCGCCCTTGGGTACTATGGTGACGCCACAAGTGGTAAGTGATTAGCACCGCCAACTCTTGCCAATTCGCTTTTTTAAAAGTTCGAGTTCCGCCTTCTACCCGTGTTGAATGGTATAGGTAGTTTCTAAGAATTAAGGAATCGATCTCTGAAGATAAATTCTCCCAGGGCTGAAAATTTCTTGCGGGTAGTTAACGTCCATATGTAAAGTGAGGAGACCAACCTGGCGACAGATATGTTTTGGATATTTTTCGGATCATTTTCGCTGCATGATTTTGTCGCAGTACATGGAAGAGAACCTAAGGTTATGTACACACTACAGCGGATAGTTTTGCGCCGGTTCGAAAACCATATCTGAGAGGGCTTCGGTTCACACATGAGAACAGTGCACGTGATTTCGGCGTGATTTCTGTAACGGAGCGAAGCTGCCCTGATCTCTAAAGTGGAGAGTCACATATCGGATAGTTGTTCACTGTATACCGGATAGTTTTTGTTGTCGGCACTAAAAGCTATCTGGTATAGCATGGGCAAAGTTTTGGGTGTAAAAATTGAATCCAGGTAAAATTTTCTTAACCTAGGATTATTCTCTTTTTTATTTGTCTCCTAGCCATAATGCATGAATAATTAGGGTTAAAAATTTTTTACCGGAATTTAATTTGACCTGGTACATAATTATATATATGAGGTGTCAAGAAAAGACTGTGAAATTTTGGCGAATGAGTTAAGGGATAATGAAATGTTCGGAAAAGGTGAACATACAAAAATTTCGAATAAATCAGTTTTACAACCTACAAACTCTGCAACGTTAATACGGCAGGTGAATAGCAAGCTCTAAATGTGAATATTAACACTATTGTTGCTTTTACAGGAACACCAAATGATTGTCTTCGATGTCAGTGCCCGGGTGGTAGCAGTGGAAACCAGTTTAGCAAGACCTGTTTTCTGGATAGCTCAACTACCCCACCATCTTCAATCTGTGACGCTTGTGACGTAAGTTTACCACTAAGCTGGTACTGATTCCTTATATAACTCTATTTTTTGCCGTGCGAGAACTTTTTGCGCCTTGCAAAAAGGCCAAGCACCCGTCCTCTGTTGTTCTGTACAAATTAACCGAAATAGCTGCTTATGAAGAAGCAGTTTCTCACTAGGAGAAATCAAGGGAGGTGTGATATGGTCAATAGCCTTCCTATTCGCGTAACCCCGGTCCCGCTCTGAACATCCTTTATTTTACTCCCATCCTGTGATTGAGCTGTGACATCTGTATTCTGATAGGAAGATACTCTGGCAACGTATAAAAAGGAGTTGGGAAAGAGAAAGCTTCTTGAAGAAAGCGAAATGTCTGTCGGAGTGTAACTCTGCCAATAACCCGTCCCGCTTCACAATGTAGTGCAACGTTTGTTTTGGTAACACCAGCACACAGTACATTCACATGCATTTGCATTCTATCGCTGTTCGTTGGTTTATATTGACTTACACCACAGAAAGTTGACGAGTTCTATTGGCGACTTACCTTGGGAGCCAGACGTATTTTTTCCTTTGGGGGCGACGGAATTGAGCGACGAAGCACTTCAGCCCTTCGCCCTTTACCCCTCTCGCGACTGGTGTGCGAGAAGACCTCTGGCATCCGGGGTATTGCAGAGTTTAAGCGAGTATCGTTTGTTTTGACCTTACAAAGACTTGTCGTTGTCTTTGTTTTTCACCCAAGGGGGGCGGGGGAGGTACCTAGGTTAATTTTTGCTGGGTATGTGCCGCTGGCCTCTCAGAATCCCTACCCTCTTATAGTCTACTCTGTGGCCAATTATAGACCCATCTTAGTAATTTTTGGGCAAGTATTTAATTTTCGCGATCCCAGCTAAGTCACTTTCTATTTATGTATGTACCCTTATTGAATAAAGAACACTTGACTTTTCACCTACAGTACAAACATTCTGGTACGTTTGCTAAAAACCATAAATATGAAGAACTGTCTTACCCAAAAATCAAAAAATGTGCGACCCCATTCTAGTAACTCTAATGAATATAGAAACCCATTATAGTCACTGCAGTAGTGAAAATGCGACCCCATCCAGTGGCACATCCACATTATCCTCTTATAAGGAAGTACCCTCCTGGGTTTTTCACCTTGTATTATTCTACACACTTGACCTACAGGTGGGCTACACTGGAAATCAATGCGAAGTATGCGATGACGGTTACTTTGGCAACCCGCTCGTCCCAGGTGGCCGTTGTCAGCCGTGTTTTTGTAATAACAACACCAACCCATCGAACATTGGCAACTGTGACCAGCTCACAGGGAGATGCCTCGCTTGCTTGTTCAATACCGCTGGCTTTAGCTGTGAGCGCTGCAAATCAGGTTACTATGGTGATGCTATAGCAAGGAATTGCACAGGTAAATAACCTCCATAGCGCAATTTGGATCGTATCCACATAATGGTAGCCTGCGCTTTAGACGGAAATTAACTTCTGGTTAAGTCCGTCTGCGAAAGAGCAGAAATCCTTGTTCTGGGTACCCACCTGTGTACCAGGATTTGAGTACTCGCCGTGATTGACATGTTAAAAAAGCCATTGTCAATTTGCCAATCAGGTTGAAGGGAAATTCGAAACGCATTTCCTGTAATTCATTGAGTCCATCGGGTCCTACAGCAAAGATATCGGCGCTGCTTTGCAGACGTTACTAACTGTTGTTAGATAATTTCTGCGACACAGGCTACAAAGTGGGGCAAATATGAATTGAAATCACCTCGAGAATGGTAACATTTGGCACACGTAAAAACGACGTAACTTGAGACTTGACTCAGAGCGGGGTACAGGTCCATTACATCCAGCGATAATTTATGTTGCTGTGTTGGTTCTGGATACTTCCGAACAAACTAACGGATGTGGAAGCACGTTTTATCCTTATCTCGATGCTACTATTTTGATTCTTTACTTACGTTAATGTAATTATCTGTCTTTTTTTTTTTCAATGAGTCACATGCAAACCGAGCTGAGTGAAATAAATCTTCTTGTCTTGTCTTCTATCCTGAGTAAATAATGCGTTTTCTTTCAATATTACTACGCGTTCCCACTTAGTTTGATTTGTGTTTCAGAATGTGTTTGTAACAGTAATGGTACAGACTCAGGATTTCTGGACACCTGTAATTACAAGACAGGACAGTGTAGATGCCTTCCTAACGTGATTGGTACACAGTGTGACAAGTGCGCTGACGGCTTCTGGAATCTGGCCAGCGGTGTGGGTTGTCAAAAATGCGACTGCTGTGGTGAAGGCTCGACCCAGGCCACTTGTAGTGAGGTAATGCGACAAAAACAATTTTCAGAACTGGGCTCAGTTATTCGAAGCAGGGTAAAGAAAAAACAGGATTAGCGCGAAGTTTGACTTCAAATCTGAAGACTTATAACGCCGTTGTCGGACGGATAGCCCTTCGTTTTCCGTTCATCAGCCGTTCGAACAGATTGGGTATCCGTTCGAACAGCCCAGGCTATCCGTCCAAAAAAACTGCCATCCGTTCGAACGGCTCGGGCTACCCCTTCGAACCGTTCGAACGGCTTGTCAGCTGCGCTACTGCTCCAAAACAATTTCACCGGAGCAGTTCGCGACGAATCTGTCAGAAAATGTTCATAACTCTTCCAAGCGTTGTTTACCATCACCTCATGTATTGTCAAGGTACATTTTCTACTCAATCCATCTTTTCTTTTTATATCAGTCGATTATCGTTACAGGTTTTATTCAAAACTGAGTTTCTCGAACAAGTCATGTTTTGGCCTTTTTGAATGCAAATATCAAACGATTTTGTTAGTCTGGTTTCTCCCGTGGGAATACACTCTCACTGGCAATGATAACATTTTTGTTCAACGTGTTTATTTTCCTCTTCCTTCAACTGCCCTTGCTCACTACCTGTTGGGTTGTAGCCAGTGTCAGATTACTAGTGTGTGTAGGCGTATTCTCTGATGTCCTAGTTTTCCCCTCAGGGTACTGGTCAGTGCCAATGCAAGCCTGGTTATGGAGGTCCACGTTGCTGTGAATGCGAAAATGGATACTGGGGAACACCGCTGGACAACTGCAGGCGTAAGTATACAACTTTGAAGTCATGTAGATAATAAATCAGTTGTCTTGTGTATTTTCCTTTACAAATATGTGGTGTAAACTTTCACATTTTCTTTTGTACATGGTACCTATTACCTTACATGACCAAAGATGTCTGAGTAGGTTTGAATATTAAACAATTAATGAACGAGGCTGGGTATCTTATGAACACCCTCCGAGATCTCCATGATTCTTCATATGATACGAAAGCGGGATTCAATAATTGTTTTATTATTCATTCAAAATAATTCCCTAGTTTTAAAACATAGCTAAAACATGCTTACCTCCATCGATGTTAAGTTCATCTTCGATAGTGCACGTTTAGGGTTGTTCAGCTCCGCAAATATTCTCTAAACGGCAAATGTCGCCCTTCGAGTTGTGTTCTTGCTGTTCTTGCCATGTTTTTAGCCATAATTTCGCCTAGTTCTTTCTCTTGAAACGAGTGAAATGTCCGCCAGTTTTTGTTTTAAAAACCAAAACAACTCAACCTCGTCCCCAGGTCTTCTCGGTTAACGGTGCATTAACCTGCAAGAAGGCTGCACTTTTGACGTCATCGGTTCATTAGACGCAAAATTCTTCCAAATTTGGTCATCAGTAGCTGGTTATGGTGAATTATGCGTGTGCTTTTAGCCAATCAGAATCGGGGAAATATTTTGAACGAATAATAACAAGGTTTCATATACAGGGGGCAGAAAAACCTGTTGGCATATAAAGCCCCAGATGTCGCCGTCTTTTTTTTGTTGAAATATCAAGGTTATGCAGGAGGTAATAATCAGCCTCTAGGCTTTTTGACGGTTATATAACGAAGGTTTGTTTACCATTTACACAAACCATCCTGTTCAAATTTGTTGCATAAATAACAAAATTTAACCTTGTCAGAGAAGGCTCCGCTACAAAGGTTATCCAATTCAAATCAGCAGGACATACTGAAAATGTATAGAAATTGCATCTCCTCACGCAACAGCCCGTCTTTTCTGAAGCTTCCAAAACGGAATGGCGTCAATCATTTTATTTTCCAACCGTAATTAGCGGCTTCCCCTCGTAAATGTTAAGTATTCCAGGACGATCATTTTTTCCTGTGCAGCAGATAAATAGATGTCAGGGTTAAAATTGTCGTGAGAAGCTATTATAGTGAATCCTCGATATAACGAAGTGCCAAGAGACTGGCAAAATTTTTTCGCTACAAACCGGTTTCGTTATATCGAGGTACTTCTCCATATATTTTACTATTTATGGGGTAATCAAAATCGTTCGCTATACTGAGGACTTTGTTATACAGACGTTCGTTATATCGAGGTTCCTCTGTATGTAAAGCACGAACTACAACTCTTATGTGACCTGGATAGCCGGGGCCGTTTGCAGCTACAGTTAACCACGTGGTACAAAACCGCACTTGGACAAGATAAACAAGGCTTTAATCCCTCAAAATGATTTTGGCTTGTCCCAGTGCCTCTTAGCTCTCCAGTATGGCGGTTATTAACCAAGTCCAAGTGAATGACAAACTGCAAAGGGCCTGTTTATATAAGGTAAGCTGGGCTGGTTAGGTTCATGCCTTGTTTCACCTTAACTGGCATTGTCGTTGTGTTTATATGAGAAGGTGGGGTCGCCCGCTTCCCGAGACCTCGGCTTGAGAAACCGGGATCTCGGCTAGTGGACCATCCTGCCCTCTGAGAATTTTCAGAGAAAATGAGGCATAAGCCGCGACAGCCCTGTAAAGCGGGCTAGCCGGGCTATCCGAGCTGGCTCTCTTCTTATAAACAGACCCTAATCTAACCTTCGCTGTAATCCCGTATTTTGTCAACAGCATGTGACTGCAACGCGGCAGGATCTGTCAGCCTTCAGTGTGACCGTGACACGGGCAAGTGTCAGTGTAAACCAGGCATGATTGGAGAGAGGTGTGATATGTGTGACGCGGACACCACGGGAAAAATGCCGCAATGTGAAGTCTGTGGTGAATGTTACCCTCAGTGGAAGGAAGCGTTAGAGACGCTGTCACGCAACATTAGTGTTGAGGTTCCACGCGCGTACAACCTTTCTCTTACCCCTCAGCAACCAGGTATGTTTAATTGGAGGATAACTTTCCTCGCGTTCGTCAGAACGCATCCTAATCTGGTTTTCCTGTGGCACAAAGGCAGAAATTTTCGAGCTATCACGAGCGACTGCCTATTTTCCGTCCCTATTAATTTTATCAGGGGCATCTCGGCCGGAAAACTGGACTCCTTCGACTCGATTTCGTTTCCGTAAGTGACGAACGCGGATCCGTAATCAATGATTACCTCTAGTTTAATGCTAAGATCGTGCTAACGCTACTTAAACCGGTTCCCTTGCTCAAGCTTTTCCTTAAATCCAAGGCCTACTGGACTGCAAAGAGTTCACAAGTATTTTGACAAAGTTGTTTGGTTCCTTGTAGTTTGGAACTATTCCCAGTCCGAGAGAGGTATTTTCCCTGTTTTATTATTCATTCAATGGATATTGCACTTTAGCAAATCAAAGACTTGCAAAAATGTTGAGTACAGTGTTTGGAGCAATTGGGAATGGAAACTTACCTACAAGCATTTCCGAGTTATTGACGGCACGTAATTATAATTTACGTGGTGATGCTATTTTAAAATTACCTAAAGTAAATTCAACAAAGTGTGGGATCAAATCATGGAGATACCAGGCTGCCCGACCATGGAACACTATTCCAAATAATTTAAGAAATATTAGTGATAGTTACCGCAGTTTTAAACGTGGACTCAAGGAGCTCGACGTTGCAAGTTTATAGTCGCTTTCGCAATTAAACTCAGTTTTTCTTCAGTAATATTTAAGTATTGTATCACGTTTCTATAATCTTATTGCAGTTTCCATGTCCTATGTCATTTTAAACACTTTTATATAGTTGTAAGTTTATTGTCCCTTATTCACAATTTAACCTGGTTTTCTTAGTACACAAGTTTTAGTACACAAGTTTTAACCATTAGTGTCTGTTTCTCGGAAAGTTCATGATATAAAGGGATGTTTAGTTCTGCAGATATCCTCCAAATGGCAATGTCATCCCTCGAGTTGTATTCTTGATGTTGCTGTTCTTGCCATTTTTAAGTAGTAGTTGGGATATTTCCTCCTCGCAAAACGTGTGAAATGTTCCGCTATTTTGTACCTCTCTACCAAAACAACGCAACCTCATCCCCAGGGCTTCTCGGTTGCCGTCCATTTTCCTGGCAATTATTCTGTACTGTACTAATTTGGTCAACGCTATTTGGTTATGAAGAATTAGCCGTGCGATTTGAGCCAATCAGAAACGAAAAAATGTTTTGAATAAACAGTAATATCTCTTAGTGACACAAGAAAACATGTTCTTTTTTTAATTATTTTCTTATCTCAGGAAGTCTAAACGCCTACGATTTTGAACTCAGTAAGCTTGAAGAGAAACTCAAAAAAGTAGAGGAGATTCTGCAAAGGCAAATAACCACAGAAAATGACACAGAAGCAATTGAAAAACAACTTGATACAATAAACAACCATTTACAAGAGATCCAAGATAAAGTCGAGAAGCTTAACGATGAGGTCAACACCACCGAAAGGCGCACTGATGAAGCAAACGTTGAGATTGATCGACTACGCGACAGACTGTCGAAACTTCGAAGAAACGGCACACAACTCAAGTCTGACGTGGAGAAGATTTTACGATCCGATATTCGTGGCGCTTTTCATGAAATTTTGAAAAACCAGATGAGGTCGAGGGAGGCTCAGAAAAAAGTAAATAAATCTCGAGAAATAATTGACATGGTAAAAGAGAGGAGAAATCAGACTGAGATGTTGCTTGCTGGCCCTCCGTCTGTTGACCAGAAACACAAAGAAAACAACCAAACGTTTATCGATATCAGCGAGAAGTTGAGACAATTACTGGAAGAGGCAGAGATTCTCAACGGAATCTTATGTGGGTCTCCCTCAAGTCAGTGTGGTGGTTGTGGGGTCCTTAATTGTTCAACCTGCGGCGGTCCTGGCTGTAATGGATCCATAGCCTTGGCATCAGAAGCGTTAATAAGGGCAAAGGAAGCGGAAGAAGCTCACCGCTCGCGGGAAGGTGAGTAGTTTTATTTATCAAGCTTTAATTCCTTTAATGTTCGAATTAACGCCTGGGGCACTTTTTTCAGTATTTATATCCTTTGTCGAGAGGATATTTTGCATTAACTTTGTCTTCAGTACCTCCAGAGTTTAACAGTCGTCCTTAATCGAAATTAAGACAAACAACGCTTATGCAATTTTTTTTGTTGGAGTGTGTGTGTGTGGGGCGGGGGGAGGACAACGTGCATTATGGGAGAATACCAAAGTCCTTCACGTTGTTGCATTTTACTGTTATTAGCCAAAGCTAACGAAACTCTAGAGGAAGTAAAGAGAGCTGAAGTAATGGTGAACATGACCAAACAGGCGGCGGAGACTGCAGTGATGCGTGCTATGGAGGCTGATCAACGCGCTAAAAATGCAAGCGTTAGAATGGACCAATTAATACAGGTAATGGTGGATTCTGTGGTTACTTTCACACTGTACCGGACAAATTTTCGACCGGCTGAAAACGGGACAGTTCAACATTTTCGCTCTGTTGACAGGGAACTTTGAACTGCTAAGCGTCTTAATTTTCGTACGGTTAAAGTGAACCGGTGTGAACAGAACACCTAAGCGCCCGAATTTTCTACGGGTCAAAAATTCGCCTGCAGCCATGTGAACATAACCTGGATCACAGCGTTTGTGCCCAGTTAAAGTGCGCATGCGCATGCAAAGTGGTCAACAATTTTCACCCCTTTTGACTTATTTTGTGATCTAAAACTGAGGGCTTGTCCACACAAATCCGGATATTCTCCCCCCCGCTCTTTATTAATTAATTAATTAAGTAAGTTTTTTACAAAAATTGATGAATCTGCTCACACAACACCCGTGAATCCGCTCATTCATCCGCGGCGTCTTCGTGGTACAAAATAAGCGGTTTAAAAAATATCTGGATCCGTGTGGAAAGGGCCTGAATAGACGCAGAAAATAAGATTCAATGTATGCTTGACTGCAGAGCAGGAGATGGCGGGTGTTCCATCCTCGGTGCCGGACCAATACTCAGGGTCGTAAGAAATAACTGAGAAATGAAGGTGCTGTCTTCCTACACCTTCGCGTGGCTCGGATCATCACGTAAAATGGCTGTCCCCTCTCCATTAGGAGATGTGAAAAGTAGTGTCCTCAATAGGCCTTTTGCATTAGTTAATCACGTGGTCAACTTTCGGTAAACACGAAAACAGTTCGCTTTTGAAACATTTTGTTAGCACCAGCTGAAAGAGCATATTATAATTAGGTAACCTGTAAACTTTGAGCCATATATCTCAAAAGTAGCGATTGCAACGGCCGCCGAAAATTAGAAGGATTTTTGTGACAAAAGCAACTCTTGCCACCCAGTCACGTTTTAGTGGATTTCCATACAAATCCTCATAAATTCGGAAAATTTAAACTGTCGTTAAATCTTTCCCTCACGCATTTAAGGGCTCAAATTGCCTGTTATGAATTAAAAGAAGACTTGAGCCTCGTAATGCTTAAGGAAATATTTCACGACAGTTTAAAAAATTCGAAATTTACAAGGATTTGTAAGGAAAACCATTCAAGCATGACTGGGTGGCAAAAGTTGTTTTTCTCATACAAATCCGTCTAATTTTCGGCGGCCGTTGCAATCGCTACTTTTGAGATATACGGCTGAAAATTTACAAGTTACTAAATTTTAATTTGCTCTTTCAGCTGGTGCTAACAAAAGTTTACAAAAGCGAACTGTTTTCGTGTTGAACGAAAGTTGATCACGTGAGCAACTAATGCAAAAGGCCTATTAGTACTTTCGTGCTAACTACATTTACTTTTTTTCACTGTCAAGTGAAGTGGTTGATTATGTGTTGTTAGGAAGTGCCCCTCACGCCTTTTTGTGGGGGTGAAAGGAATTTTACAGTTGATATTGGTAATAAAAAATTAACAAGGCTAACTTGAAAGCGTAAAAAAACGCGAAAAATCCCAAGTATCTGTAGTTCACTTTGTCAATTTACGCCTGTAGAAGCGTTTCTGATAAGCCTTTTCTGACAAATACAACTTTTTCCCTTCCATTTTTTTCCTTTTTATTTAGGACATAATAGATTTCTTAAATCAAGAGTTTGGTGATACTAACAGAGTGCAACAGATTGCTGACAGCGTCAAGAAACTGCAACTTTCCGTAACTCCGGAAGAAATAACTAAACTGGCAGCGAATATCACGGCTGCACTCAATTCAATCACTGGCGTTGACGAAATCTTGCAAGAGAGTCAAGAGAGACTGGATAAAGCAAATGACCTAAAGGAGAGAGCTGAGCAGGCCAGGTAATAAAGCCTGTTAGCAAGTTCTAGAGCAGACACCGGCTTTGAACTTGGTTTCTCTGTTTTCCCATTTCAGACCAGGTTATGATACTCTAAGATCCTTTCCACACATGTCCGGATAGTTTTGAAAACGGAATTTTTTCCACGTTTTCCAAAAACTTAAGCGTCCACACGTAGCGTATTTGAATCGTCTTCGCCCGTCCACGTGAAAACGCTAAAACGGTGGAAATGCGAAGGAAATGCGATAGCATCTCTTACAGAGCATGCGTAATGCTACTAATTATGATGTATGACATCATCGTATTCGAAAACCTCCGTTTTCGACCGTCAACAAGTAAACGAGAAGCCGGTGAAAGGCGTCAGTTTTTGAAAAGATGCGTTTTTGGTGACCGTTTTCACTAGATACGTGCGGACAGCAGGCCAAACCGGAGAAAAAAAATCTCATCTCAAGTTTGAAACAAATACAAGTCTGCGTGGACGGGGCATAAAGAACGGTTGCTTTCAAATTTCTCCCTTTGTATTCGGATACCATAGGCGCTTTCCATTCAACATTTCGGAAATTTCGCAATGGAACGATACATTCCGGTTGCACAGACCCGACCCAAGCCACCGCACGTTTGGTTATTGTTCTTGTGAGCAGGATACAAAAGAGCGGGACTGGGGACAACAATTTTGTCAAATGGAAAGGGACATTTCGGTCCGACCGACCGAAATGACCAGACCGGTCAAAGTGGACCACCTTCAAAGCTGGTCCAGAATATTTGGGTTGGACCAAACCAAAATGGTCAGTTCCATTTGAAAACAAGCAGACCACAGTAAAATATCTGTGGCTTTGACTCATCTATCAATAAACAGCTGCATTTGTTTTTGGGAGAAAGGTTTACCCCCCTTGAATTTGCAAATTTTGAAGCGAAAAAAGAGTGGGCAATAAATATGGATTATGCCTGTGTAAGCAAAAGTTAAGCAAAATGAGGACGAGTTCTGAGCATCTTGCTGAGATTGCCTGTGGGTTACATTATAGGACTGTTTATATGGAGAAAAGTGGTCTCTGGTAGAATGGTCACCTTCCCAGCCGAGTTAATGAATAAAGTTGATGAAGCTGTTAGGTGTTTGACATATGCAAAGTGGGCTTTGTTTAAATTGTCTTTCACTAAGTTGAAAGTTTGCCTCCTTCCAGAGCCTTCGCTTCTTGTGCATAAGTGTCTTTAACTCTGAGTCAAGCCAAAGCACATCGCGTCGACGTTTAATAAGCTTCTTCTGAATATTTCGTTAACAGTTTGCCACGTTTTGTAAGGGAATTTATTAAAAGTTGGCTCGCTTATAGACTGCAAAACAGTCGGTATTTTTGCGTATTCAAGTAAGCGCGAGTAGTCAAACAAAAGGTCTGGAACAAGGCTGAAAATGGAGAGTGAGACGGTTTTTTTTCTCTTGCCTCACACGTAGGGCGTGTAAGACTCTAACGCCGCGCTTTACCGATTTCTTTACTGATTTTGAGAAAAAAACCGACTGTTTTGCAGTCTAGCTCCCTTAGGGTACCTCTGGCCGGTAAGCGGGTGTCTCTTTTACCGGGGACAACTTGTTTCCATATAAATGGGGCCTTAGATTTGTGAATCCCTTGTCCTTTCACAAATTTTGTGAACATATGCACCTGATTAAAACGTGAATAAGACATCTCATGACCATGATTTTGAAACAAAACTTGCAAGCTAAAGAGTTTTACTCATTTTGAGTATAGGCTTACCCATCAATTACGGCCGGGCAATAAGTCTCTAAAAATGCGCTGTGGGTCCGTTCTACTGCGTGAAGAGAGAGAGATGAACGAAAGTTTGGATCATTTAAGCATCTGCCCTTTCAGCAGCGGATACCCGGCCCTGGTTGTTCAAACGTTGGATAGGGGTATCCGACAGATAGATCACTATCCAGAAAATAGCGTTATCCACCTTTAAACAACTGGGGTCTGGAGGACAAGTATATTTTTTCTCTTTTCTGTTTTCAGAGCAAAAGCCAGAGCAGTGTCTGACGTCATCGTTAATATAACAGATGCTCTCGTGAAAGCGGCCGGAAGCCAAGCTGCCGCTCGTGACGCCATCAATACAGCAGAAAATGACATCAAAATGGCAAACGACACTCTCTCTAAAGTAAGGAATGATAATACGAAGCTTACGGCGATGTTACAAGGGACGATTTGCAACGACGATTTTCAGCGCATCACAGCGTTGCAACATTGCTACGATATTGTTTCGATTTGTTCAAACATTGTTCCAACATTGTTGTCTTAAAAATCGTTGTTGAAAATCGCCTCGGGTAACAAGTAACCCACCTCGATAACGACGGCAACATGAGTGTCAGAAAACTATAGGTTTACTAAACAAACTAACAACTCTTTCATCAACATTTCATCCATTGCACGACTACGACGTAAAACTGAGTTATTGAGGTATTTGATGAAAGTATGCTGCACCTGTATCTGGTTCTTGGCTTTCCTGCACTGGCTTACCTTGTGTCATTGGCTAAGAAAGACTTCTAAAAGGCAAAATTGAGTCTATTAGACCATGTTTTAAAATGAGTAAAAAGATTTTTTTCTCTTTTTATCGCAAAAACAAATTCATTTTCTCTCTTGCATAACAGTATAGTGCAACAGCTTTTGTGACGGAAATATTCTTTCCAGGGGGTATCCCAGCCAAGATGGAAAAATCACGAAAATTCCGGGGGTAGGGGAAATGACAAGCATCCCTTGCAGGGTTTATTCTAGAAATTGGCTAATGAGAGTCAAATGTGCTCCCTTCTGTAATTTTAGGGGCCCTTTTTCAAGAAAAGGGGTTCAAGAAAGGGGGCCCCCAAAAGGTATTTGAACTTATTGGTACAGACTGTTCCATGAGAAAACGAATGTTTATTGACGCTTTGCCTCCATTTTGGAACATTCTGGGCAACTGAAAAAGCCTGGGCTCGAATAACTGCAGAATCCCGGATGTTTGTCTGGTGAAATAATGACTCTAAGGAAAAGAGAAAGACAATTGAGACAGTAAGAGGCTATAAAAGTTCAAAGTAAGTTTATAGAGCTGCCATCAAATCAGTGTTGCTGTCAGTGATGTTTTCCAATACTTTATTTCAAAAAAATAGTACTTATTCTTGGGTCTATTTTTTTTGCGCCCCATTCGACGCAGTAACGTAAATTTTATGCATTGTTTTTTTTTCCAACTTGCGGAAATCCCGCACGGCCGCGCTCTAGAGTAAACCCTGCCCTTGGAATGGAAATTCCAGGGGGTGGGCGATGTAACGCAAAAGTGCCCTCCGTCGGGGGTTTATGGAGGTGAACACATAAATGCCAATGTTTTCCTTTTTTTCCTTTTGTGCTTGAAAAAGGTCCTCTTGTATTAAACTCCAGGAAAATTCGCCTGACAAATGACAAATTGAGCGGAGCACAATAGACGAGATTGAGTTCGAAAAAGCCAAATTCATTTTCCTAGTAATATTTTTACTGCCGTCTTTTTTCTGTTAATCGTACAAAGTAGTTCTCCTTTTCATAGCAAGGGAACGCTAACCAAATTCGGAATGTTAACGCTATTCGTCCATCATTCTTTGCGAAGAGGGTTTTAAAATGTGTCGTTATTTGTGCCGTGCTTGGATCGTGAAGCGAGTTCAAATTTTGATTGGACCATGTATATGTTGAGGTTAAATTTTATCCTTGGTTTATATTTTATTTTCCTTTGTTTTGGGGTGTGGTAATGTATGATAATGAGTTTGAAACAAAGGATGAAATTGAACCACAACATATATATTCATATTTATCATAAACACACGAGTGTTTTACTGGAAAATATACCAATCGTAAAATTCATAAAAATTACATCCGGGACCCGAGTGGTTTATTTTCAATAATCTCACACGTGAGTTTATCGATGACGTAATTTCGGCCATATCCCTCTATTATTTTATCGATGTCTCTTTGTCTATAGAATAAAACAAAAACAATACTGATTTTACTCACTCGCTGCGCTCGTTCGTAAAATATTGTTTTGCCACTCGAAAATAAATTTCATATCTTCGCGCCACCGTGTCATATCCTCTCTTTGTATATAGCAGGCTGGTGTCCGCAGAGTGGTGAGGACAAAGATTATCAACGTGTGTGCTGATACGGTAATTTAACTTACGTTGCAGCTTCTTGCGGACCTAGATTCTCTTGAGAAGGCGGTGGATAATGCACAGGAAAGTGTAACAAATATGACAGGAATGGTCCCTATGGTTCAAAAACAGTTTGAAGACAATCTTAAGCAGCTTGAAATTACGCAGGAGAACGCTTTGGAAGCACATGATCAATCGCAAACTGCTGAAAAGGTTTGTTATTTGAACAAGAATGTTTCAGTCCCATTTTGTAAATTTTTGTGAGGTAGCGGTTGTTTACCGTTTACAAAAAGTTTCCGGAAAATCCGGTTGGAAAGTAGACTACGAGTAGTCCCCCATTTTTCCTCAGGGATAGTAGAGCGAGCGAAACGCAAGTGCGCGTGAAAATCACCCCACGCGAGAAAGGCGAGACGCAGTCGCCTTCTCTCTACTATCCCTGAGGACTGGGGGACTACTCGTAGTCTTTTTGGAAAGTAAATGGCACACGACTTTTCGGGTCGTTTCGGTGGAAAATTTCCGGTAGCAACAGAACCTTTAAAAAAGTAGTCCTGTCCTTCCAAACGGAAATTCGGGTACCATTTCTTCAAAGCTTTTTTGATGCCAGCTTCAGACTTTCGCGGTCGTTTTTTGGTAAATGAAGAGATAAGTGCAATTAGTAAAATCCAACTAGCGGTCTATTATCAATACTGCGCTCTGATTGGTTGAGCTACTACTAGGCTATATGTTATAGCCCACTAGTAGCGAAAAGCGCCTGCTTTGAAAACCAAAGCCATGGCGGCTGAATCGCGTTTTGCTAGCTAAAGTTGATTTGCCTCGATATTTTTGACCAACTAGTTGGATTTTACTAAAATAATTATTCCTCTCGCACTCATGGCTTCTGAGCAAGAGCCATAATGGGATATTATGGCTCTTGCTCTTGCTCCGAGTCAATAGCCCATTCGGGCTCGAGGAATAATTGTTAAATGGTAAAGGTTATTTCGGGACGAAATTTACCAGTCTTGAATTTGTCAACCATTTGCCCAAACTGTGAACCGACCGGTTTGCCCATGTAAATGGTTAAACAAACAGCATCATTAAGATATAAAGGCCAAAGAAATGAAGCCACACTTGGGGGCCTAGGCACCCACTGCGGTAGAAGCAGTCAAAGCGACACTTGTAACGTGAAATCACGTTTTTTCACACTTCACAACAACTTCAATATCCATTAATTCTAACTTTCTTTTTGTATTCTGCAGGAAGTAGAAGAATTACTTGAACTATTTAACAAAGTAAGGGATAGAATTAGCGAAAAGGTCGTTGCTGTTCAAAACGCATCTTCAAAAGTTGCGGATTTAAAGAAGAAGGGGAAAGAATTAGTCAAAGATTTAGACAGCAGGCTTCAGCGGATTATAGGTAAGTGCCTCCGTAAAATTGTTAATTTGGAAGGGATAAGAAAGGGTTCAGTAGACCATTTCCGTGTTCCCTTGGGCCTCTGTATCAAAACGAGGCTGGGTGCTCAGCCTTTGATATGGAAATGATTTTTTATTCTTGTGCAAATAAAACTCATTTTCACAAGAAAGGTTTTGAAAGGAAGTGGCCTATCGATTATTTTCGAATCCGCCTTAATACACTCTGTTTACCTCTGTTTACCTCTGTTTACCACTCCCATCTCCACTTCAAATTTTTCAAATTTTGCATTGTGTCTTGTCTTCAAACGCTCTTGTGTATGTACGCAGTTCTTCCAGAAGTGTTTGAAAAGATTAGAGCGATTTTCGTATGACTTTGAAAACTGGTTTCGGTAAGTGCTCGCTATTTGTTTTATCAGCCAATGGATGAAAAGATCAAAACATGTACTCTTGGTTTTCCCGCCAAAGAAAACTTTAATATGGAGAAAGCATCAAGGTTCGATTGGTCAATCGTGTCGCAGAATGACGTCAAAGCGAAGTATCGATTGATTTCTAGAAAGTTCTTGGGCAGGATGTTTTTTCATGCGAGCGTTCGCTTAACCAACCAAAAGCCACGCGCGTTTGTATCCGTTCGACAAACCGATCAAATCGCTGTATTTTCGTTCGTTTGCTGTTTCTGTCTTGTTCGCGCGTTTTCATTTCAAGGCCATACGAAGATCGCTCTAATGCCATGTTCACACTATACAGGACAGCTTTTGCGCCGGCAAGAAAATCGTACCGGTGCCCGGAGAATAACCTCTCGGAGCGAAGGAGAGAACTAACAACAAACTCAACTCACATATGGCGTCGACGCCGGGATTTGAACCCGGGCCACATCGGGCGCTCTCACCACTGCGCCATCCCTTGCTGCCAAAACAAGGTAGTGAAAGGTATATGATTTTGGAAACGATAGTGTGAGCGCTTCCATCCATCAGATAATGTCTGTATAAAATTCTTCTGTTGGAAAACCCGAATAACGTTCGTCGCTTTAAGTACTGTACTCGCAGTTCCATTGCCGAGGGTCCTTTAAACTTGTGCTCTTGTTTTCTTCTTATTTTGTTAGTTATCGAGAGGGAAATCATCAAATTTGAAGACCTTAAAAACCAAACTAGGGTTCTCCAAGCGGAAACCAAGATGATGATTGACAAGCTTCAGAAAAGATACGACTGCTACTTTACTTGCAATCCTAATGCAATAGATATCCCTTGTTTTAAAGATTAGTTGATTATCAGCCTTTAGCTGTTAAAAGAGCCACAATCAAACCATCTCGGCGGCAATTGCAAAACTTGTGAAAATTAATATGACAAATTTTAATCTCGTCTTGCAAGTTATAGAATAAATGAAAGTACTTCTCAGTTTCGGTTTTGTTGCTTAGATCACCGAACCCTTTCACTTTTACAACAACTTATGTAAAATTTTTTTGTCACCCTACTCTATCAAATTTGTGGACTAGATCGTATGGTGTTGCCATTCAGATAAAAACTCTTTGACAGAACATTTTTTAGTATTATTTATGTCTGTGGATTTGACGATTTTAATGTTTGTTTTGTCTTGTTTTTTTGTTCGTTTGTTTTTCCTTTTTTGACTTTGAAAGGGTCAGTGATGAGTAGTAGGCTACCATAACATTGACGTTCGCACGTAACTACTTACTTTTTTACTTTTGAACTATGTGAAATCCTGTGATGTGGTCATTCAAATGCAATTCCTGAATAATGACCGATTCCTTTACGTTTTGTTGCAAAAGGGAATTGACATGTACATTTTTTTATGCTTCTGGCACTCGTCAACGTTGACCACATTTGTCAATATGGGCTGCACTTTCCTTAGTCCCTGCGGGGCATGTAACATTAGGTAGGCTTGCTGACTGTTTGGTTATTTCAGCTGCAGGGTTAATTTGTAAAGTTTATATACGAACTATACATATTTACTAGTATTTTTTAAAGATATGGATATCTATAGTAGTAACTTAATACAGGAGCCGATAACCCGGCCGGAGAGAGCAACTGCCTTTACCCACGCAACGGCGTTTTCACAGACCTGTTTTTTCCAGATCGATTTTCCCGCGAATTTTGTCCGGAGACTAGAAGATAGTGTTTCTGAAGTTTAGTTTTTCCTTTTATCATTATCTTACCATGGACACGGGATGATGCTTGTATTGTCGCCGGAAAAAGTACTGCAAAATGATGCTAAAAATAAACTGATCTGTTACAACGCCGCTGCATAAGCCGAGTATGGGAGTTGCACGCCCCGAGTTATGGGCTCCTGCTCGATACTATGACGAACTGCTTTTAGAGCTACTTATGTTAACGTTATACTCGCAGGAATAAAATGGGTGTTTGCAACGTATTATTAATGACTTGTTTATGTACAGTGTTACTGTTTTAGTTACCAACTCGCATACTATCACAAATTCTGTAATCTAACTGGCTAACTTACTCACCATCTGTTGCATGATAGATAGTGGGTAGCGAGCTGGCATTTTGAACGAAAACTAAATAACAACAAAAACTAATGCGGCCACAAAATTCTGATTAGGCTGTAATCTAAACCTCATTACTACGCTTTTTTGACGTTCTACACCTATGTAGTTGCCGTCGTCATTTGTGACATCCAAAGCCCTTGTTTTCGTCCCCCAAAACAATCCCTTAGTGCAATTCGATACGACATCGGTGCAGTCTCATGCAAAACCTTGGCCATTTCCCACTCCCGAAACTATAAGGGGAATGGGTACAAGCCTTTGGCGAAACGATTTCTGGGATTTTCTAGGTGGACAAGCTTAACCGATGATTGGTTCCTGGTTGCCCTAAACACCATCGACCAATCACAACTAGTGCTTGTCCACCTAAACGAACCCAGAAATCGTTGCGCTGAAAGCTTGTAACCATACCCCTTATAGTTTCTGTAGTGGTGACAATGCCATTTCCGAGTTGGCCCAAGCCTCTGTTTCAAAGCGAGGCTAACTGCGAATCTATTGACATGAAATGATTTTTTTTATTCCCATGCAAATAAATCCCATGTTCTTCATAAGAACGGCTTTGCACTTGACCTTGTGTAGAGAAAATCCTTGAATAAGAATGACCGAGACCAGTTTTTATGAGCCCGCGAGACTGAACACCCCATCCAAACCCTTGTTTCACTAAAACCGCTGGACACCACAACTTGGTTGAGGTCATTGTTATCTGAGGTCTACCTTGTTTTGAAGTCTAGAGTTTTTGGAACTCGGAAATAGCCTATTATCGCGCGCTTAATCTCACTGAATAAACAGGATAGCTAGAGTACACGGTGAGTAAAGATTGTATTACTTCCGGAGAGTTGGTAGGGCGATTCCAACGCATTTGTCCAATTTTGGTTGTGGAAAAGGTTCTGTAGAGGACTTGGCTAAATTGGGCATCAGTTATCCATGTTATCTCAATCTTTAACCGCCAAACCGACGTAAAAAAGATGGGGAAAGAGGGGAGAGTTTCGAGTGCTCTTTTAGGCCGCTTGAGAAAAAGAAATGCTTTTAACGCAAATTTTGCTTTTCAAACAGAGTTTCCGAGCTCCTAGTTCAGGTAGCCTGCGGATACAGACGTAGTTCAGTGGAGAGAAGCGACGGCCCGAAATTTGTGTGTGTCCGCAAGCTATAGTTCAGCAAGAGTAGCGAAGAAAAACTATAACAAAAGCAAAGTTATTTCCAAGACATAATTGGGCACATCTCTAATTGCATGTTTAACTCCTTTCATTAAGCGCGCGCAAGAATTTCCATAGTGACGCAGCCTCATAATTTATTCAAACACGGTACAATGACTTCAGCAGTAACATGAAGGCTTGGAAGGGCAGGCTGATTTTCGGAGCCTTGCTCCTCTTAGAAGTTATATCATCTGCACGTGTTCCTACATTGCGTTCATCTGGAGAGGAGGCAGCCACTACAAGCCGACAGAAGCGTAAGTACATTTAAAACTAAGAAGAACAAAGAAGAAAAAGACGAACTTATGTAGATCGCTTTTTTGCCTGTTCCTTTTGTTTGATATGTAAGGATTACTCTGTTGTTCTAAGAGACATGCATGTAGAATAATCTGAATGAAGTAAAACTTAACAGGACGATTGTTTGAGAAATTTTACAATTTAAGTCTGTAGTTTGACAGAAGTTATTGACATCATGACGTCATAAATGGCTTCCAAATTTAGCGCCAAAATCTAGAATAAGAAATATATTCTACTACTGTAAGGGTGTATGGACGACGCGAAGAGGGAAAACTTCCTTTTTTGGCTCACCCCTATTTCACGCAGGCACCCCACTATCTGAACCTGTGGAGCATTCTATTTTAGCCTGGTAGCGAAGTGATGCAATCGTTAAAGATTAGGCAAGTGTCTTTCAAAGCGGGTTTGGTCTTACAATCACCATCAAATAAAATATGAAAAGAAACTTGTAGAAAGAGTACTAGAACCATTATCACAAAAATTTCACAAGTGACAGTGCCTCGTAAGCGAAGAATAGCTAATAGCTGAGTTCGTATGAACGTAGGCCACAGTAATGGGGTGAGCGGGCTGGAACCAAGGCTAAAATTCAATGGATTTGAATTATTTCTATAGCAACCGCTTCAGCGACTGTGAAACGTGTGACAGGTGGAGGGAAAGCTCTAAGCAAGACCGCATTCTGGAAGAAAATTGATTACATATGTAAGTAGACGCTGATCCGGCATCTCCCCAAGGGAACTGGAGTGAGATCATTGCTTTTCTCGCTTCTACTTCGTCCTTTTAATTGTTCTCTCTCTTCTTTTTCCCGTCCTTTTGGGATTTTCATTTAGGCTTTGCGGTCCAAAACAATTGGGTTTTACCGTTATTCCAGCCTGTGAAATGACTGCAGTTTTCAGTAGTCTAACCTTTCCAGACATCCAGGCAGATGTCTCAGAAAATTTTTGCGGATGGCGTTAAATAACCCGTTTTGCAACTGAAAACGGCATGACTTTTTTATTATGCCATTTCGTTTTATTCTATTTTATTTTCTGTTATTTCCTTTTCTGTACAGTAAACAATTACGTTAAATGCTCATCGAATGAAGACTGTCCAAAATTTAAAGACAAACCATTAGAATGCCACAATGACACAGTCCGCCCAGCCTGCTGGTGTAAGGGATCCCGCCTAAGTCTTTACCTTCAACGGGACGGAGGCACTTGTTTAGGTTTGTATGTAAACTTGAGTTGCCATTACGAAACCCCTCCATGTATAAGCCCCTCCAAATATAAGCCCCCCAAACCGGTAACGCAAAAACCCCTCCGTTAAATCGCCCCTTCAAATATAAGCCCCGTTGAGTCTCAGTATTCAAAGCAAAAACGGGTTTAAGAATGGGCATCTTTCCCTCCGTAGATAAGCCCCTCCGAATATAAGGTTCAAAAATAAAAAAGGGCCTTCGAAAAATAAACTTATTTTCAGTCGAATTCTCCAGGATACATGTACATGTATACCAGTCTCAACAATCAGGTTTTTGGGTCCCGTTGGACAAAAAACCTACTAAACATTTACAGTCGAACCTCTGCTAACGGCCACCTCTCTACAACGGCCACTTTCTTCTCTCCCCCAGGTGGCCATTGTAGAGAAGTTTAACTGTATAATAAAATTCCAACTATTTTTCCTTTTCTGATTTTCTCAAATCCCTTGGATAATTTCTTTTAGTAAAATCCAACTAGTGGTCTATTATCAATGCTCGTTCTGATTGGTTGAGCAACTACTAGGCTATATGTTATAGCCCACTAGTAGCGAAAAGCGCCTGCTTTGAAAACCAAAACAATGGCGGCTGAATCGTGTACGTTTTGCTTGTTAAAGTTGTTCTGTCTCGATCTTTCTGACCAACTAGTTGGATTTTACTAAAAGAATTATTCCTCAACCTCACGGCCTCTGAGTCAAATTTCAGCCCTTGCCTCGGGCTGGTTGGTGGTGTTGACGAAATTTGGAAGACGTTGGCAATATGTGGAAATAGGATAATGTAGTAGTGCATCATGGTATTTGTAATATTTTCTATCTGGTTCCACCTGGCTAGAAATCATTGGACCTCCGGGGCCGGGGTGTTCAAAGCTGGGTTAAGATAACCCAGAGTTAGTGGGAAATTTGAATTCAGATATGAAAACTTAAACAGCAAATCAGCTGAATTCTTTTTGTCTACAATTTGGTGATTGGACACTCTAAAAAGAATAGAGAAAATTATCTCAGAAAATGCTCTCATTAGAAAGAAAAAGAAACCTGGGTTAAAATCGAACCCCTGGCCGGTCAGCGTAATCTGCAAAGGGAAGAAGGACACCTGATTGCAGGTTAGGGTTAGCGCTCATCGGCCTTCGAGCAAATGGGCCCAGATCTCTTTCTTAGTGGGTTAATTTATAAAAATAAGTACTGTTACAGTCTACGCTAAATGCTTTAGTGAAATTGTTCACAATAAATGATATTTAGATTAAAGCGCTGGGCAAACTCACTGAAAATGGTATAGAACGCGGTTTTGTTAAACGAGGGCTAAACTTCGTTTGAATAACTGGCCCTTAGATTCTACCATTGTGGTGATATTGCAGTCAATAAGGAAGAATTCCGATATCCAAACCGATCTTATTGTTAATCGGCGCGGCCTGATGTTTACGTACATGATATATTTTTTTTCTGTCTAGATTTAACCAGTCCTTGCAAGCTTCGGAGGAGAGCAATAAAACATCTGATACACGTCTGTGATGAGAACGCTATCTGTCAAGATACTGGTCAGCGGTACTTTACCTGTACATGCAAACGAGGATTTGTAGGCAACGGAATTCGTTGCAAACGGTCCGCAAAGCCAGGTATAATCTATCACTAAGCCATTGACCGTCTATTTCATGTTGCGGATTTGAAAAAAGTTTTTATGAATAAACTGAAGCGATGGCCAGAAGCTAAATCTTATACCAAAGTTGACTTGGGTAACAGTAGTAATTTCGCTACTTCCACATGGGACAGTGAAAAACTCCGTGAAAAATGAAGCTAGGCCAGGAATTATTCTGAAATGCCATCGGTTTCTTCGCCCCACTCCTTAACGGACGGGAAGGCTTCACTGTGCCATGAAATTTCAGACCAGGCCAGGAACCATAGGAAACATTTTTGAAGTTGTCAAGAATTTACTGAATTATGACGTCTTTCTCCTTAACAATTTGGTAAAATGACAGCATTGATGGCAACATAGCCTGTGGTTCTACACTTTCAACTTGTTACCGTACATCGACCGAGTGTCTTCCATCTTTGAATTGCCAGGCTTTTTTGCTGTTTCCATTTAACAATTACAAACAAACAAACAACAAAACAACAATAGGCTAGCAAAACTTGAAAATTATACAAACAAAAAAAATACATCGCCAGAATACATTTAACAAAAGAAAATAACCGTATCAAAGTTTAGTTGAAGTTTCAAGTGTTGTCTAGTCTAAAACTGTTGAAATGAGTGTGATTAATTTTCCAATCTCTCCAAACAGAAACTACGCCTTCCATGATCAAAAAGCTAAAAACGACTACGAAGAAAAGCCAACCGGTTACTCCAATAAACATCGACCTAACTGGAAAAATCATCAACAGCGTTAGCAAGAAAGTCAGGACTGCATATCACTTATTGAGTCGACACATTTATTTGATAATCCTTGGAACATCTTTTCTTGTAATATTCACGATTATACTGATCTGCCTGTGCAGGTAGGTCACAGGGATCCTATTTAATTAATCTTTCATCTATTCACCATTTTCACATAGACCATAAGCACTTTGTTTGCTCTCGCCCTCCCCCCCCCCCCCCCCAAAAAAAAATTTGCAGAACCATTGTCTTGGATTTCTCTTGGGACCACTGTAATACCCAAGACAAATTGGAAACAATGGTTATGCAAAATTTGGGGAGGGGGGTGGGGGGTAAATAAGTTGCAGTATGGTCTATATGAAGGTAGTGAATGGGCAAATTTACCAAGCTCCCCCCTGGGGGGAGGGTATTCCCTATAATGGCCTACAGGGGAGGCTAGGCCTGAGAGGGATACCTTTTTTAGGCCTTAGGTATATTGATTCAAGGGTAGTTAAAGGGTAGGGATTTCACTAGTTTAATTTTGTAAAAGGGTAGGGAAATCTGACTTTCCGGCTGTAAAAAAAAACCAGGAGCCCATCAAAAAAAAAAAAACTGAAAGGGCTAATAGAAGAAATTTTTTATGGCTGTGAAAAGGTCGAAAAAATTTCGTGGTGTTGTGATTTATTCATATTTTAAAGACAGTGTATTTACAGCAGTTAAAGGGAATTCTACGTTATAAACTAGCTAGGGGTAGGAAAGGGGTATCATTTGTCAATGGAAGGTATACGAAAGGGATACCTTTTCTTTCAAAAATGGTATATAAAAGGGTGAAGGGGTTGGAGCGCGGGGGGGAGCCTTTCCGGATAAAACTTTGTTGAGTACCCTCTCCCCTGGTCCAAGCCCACCTAAGATACGATATATCCAGAGTATGGGTTTTAAAGCAAAAATGCATTGTTAAGAAAAAGATCTTAATCTTTAATCATCTTTAATTAACAGACGGCTTTGACGCCCCTACTGAAAGGCTCCCTTGGGCTCGGTAACCATAAAAGACTGGTCCCTCGCCTCCAATGCATAGTTGGTGTCCATAACAACCTATCGGTCCCATCAACAAACTGCCTCTAAATTGACTAAAAATTCAGCAAATTGTTTAGAAAGCAAGCATTTTTCGTGCTTGAAATCTTAAGAAACTGTCCAGATAAGAACGATAGTAACAAAGGCAACGAACATGTTGGAATGCAAAAAAGGTGCTAACTTTTCTATTGTCTGTACTTACTTCTGATTGGCTTAAACAGCAAAAGTTAACAAAACTTCATAAAGCAGTACATATATTCATCCTTACTTTCCAACCATCTTCCATATAACAAAATAACAAAATCTGGTCTCAGTTTGAATAACAAAGAAATCCTATGTGGGGAACATGTAAAATTGTAAACTTTTCTTGGCTATTGTTTTCAACTCTTGTGATTGGTCAAAATCTTTTAACACAAAAAAACACCCTTTCAAAGTGGAGTGTAAATGCATTTTATTGCATAAACGGCCTTCATGTAGGTTTATGCATTCTCTGTGTAAAAATGAGAACATTCCTATGTGGGGAAAGCACCGTTGCCGCATAACAAAAGAAATTGCTATCCACCTTACCCGGATCATTACTTAATTTGTTATTGTTGTTATTTTCTTTTTTTTTCGCCTGTATGATACGTTTTTGCGAAAAGTTAATACATTTTGCCTCAAAAATAGCTTGATCTTATGTGCCTTTTGACTTCATCTCGCACTAATTAATACTCGAACTAATTTCACCAAAATGTATCTGAGGGCCAGTGATTAAGTGAACAGACCCAACCCCTCCCTCCTGGGGAAAAGCCTAACCGGGACTCTAGCCTCTCTCCGCTTCAGTTTGAGGAAAGGTATTTCCAGGTGTTAGGGTAAATTAACAGTTTGATCCTACTCGACAAAACACTTCATGTTCCTTCGAGCATGGTGTGCTCTGGTTGCCAGCGTAGAACCTTATCTTAATGTTGCGGTCGAGATCGCTGATGTTACCGGGTCCCGTCTAGATCTCGTCGACTCAGACTGGATATTCCGAAGATTCGAGGAAGAAAACCATTTTGCTTCCTAGTTCTTTCGATTAAGCATCAACTGTTCTATCCGACACCATTTTTAACTTTGAAAAGATCTCTGCAAGTATGTTTGATGACCCCAGTGTTTACATTGTCCCTCTCTTTGGTAATAACTTCAATGCTAATGACCTACCTCTATATTTCTAATAACAGAAGGGATTTGTTTGCATTGCCGAGTATAGTTCAAGTGCTCCTTTTTTCCCCATGATCAGGATTACATTCTTAAAAACGTTATATCGGTTGATTTCCCTTGTTTTAGAAAACGAAAGAGAGAAAAACGGGAAAAGCAGATAGAGCTGCTGTCTAACATGGATGAAGGCTTTGTCGACCAGGAAGCAGCATGTCACTACATGAATGAGCCCATGTACTTCTATGAGATGCCCGTTGATGAAGGACTTGGACCTCTTCCCACAATACCTGCTGCTCCTCCACCTCCTCCTCCACCTCCTCCACCACCACCTGGACGCGGGGCACCACCACCTGGCCCCGGATCAAACTATGAGGAAGTGGCGCCTCCACCCCCACCCCCTTCTGGAATGGCAAATACAACAGCGGCAGCAGCAGTAGCAGCGCCACCGCCTCCCCCTCCCCCACCACCTCCGCCTCCCCCTCCCCCTGCAGCTCCCCGTCCAGTAACAGCTTCAAGTAAAGGAAAAGGAAAAAGTGGAAAGAAAAATGACAAAAAGGGAGCGAAAGGAGGTCGAAAGGTTGGTTTATTAGTAACTGTTTTCTAAAGGCTTACCAATTCGAAAGGGTAATGTCGCATTAGACTCAAGATAATCAGGATCAAGCTGTTTTGCGGTTTCAAGACTCCAGCTACCACCACATTTGCACGGTAGAGCTGGTGCCTAAAGACTCAAGTGGGCAGATTATTAAGAGCGTTTTCACGTAGCGTCACGGTGGCCATATTGGTGTTCCAAAACAATGAAACAGCGACCATGTTGGTGTTCCAAACCATTCATGTGGGAGTTGAACTCTTTTCTTATATAATCGCTTCCTTTTGTTTTAATACAGTTGAGATGCTTGCCACGTGAGTGAAAACGTTCTATTCCCACAGCCTCTTTTTATATCATTATGACGTCACCACTCACATGACCAAATTGAAATTGTCTGAACAAAGTTTCTTGGAAGTTTTTCACAACTTTAAAAATTCAAATCCCTGGGTCGAGACCCAAAATGCTCATTTTGTTTGGTCTTGAGTGTCTGGTCTCCCGTGGTAATTTTCTCGATCAGTTAAGGTTAAGATCTTAAAGTTCCACAGTCCCCAAGTCTTACTTTGCTCCAACGTTCGAGCAATAACTCCATCGGAAACTCTTGCTACGTTGCTTTTATAAGTAACGTCATCATGTATTATTATTATTATGATAACTGATCTCTATTATTAACTATCATTATATCCAGGCTTCAGCTAAACGAAAAGCCATTGAAGATGCTTTGACTGGAGGGAAGCCAAAATCATTTGCAGAAGAAATGTCTACCGCACAGAGGTGAGTATCGCGCTCATAATGCCATTTGGCCACCGAATCACCACACTCGTCAGAGTCACAACACTCGCAACGGTCACGGCATTCGTCAGGGTCACAATACTGATCACAGTCGCAACACTTGTGAGAATCAAGTTTTTCTTTTTTTTAAATGTTAACATTACCATCGTGACCATACGTCCACTGACTATTTTTCTTGTATTTCTTACCATTAACAACCAATAACGAGAGGAAGAAACGTATGTAGCTGTTTATATATCCTTATTGTATTAAACCAACTATTTGAGGAATGTTATGAGCAGTTAAAATATTGATCATTCTTATTTCTTTTGTCGAGCAAGTCAGAATCTGTATGCGTTTTTTCGGAGTTGCATCAATTAATGCGAGTGTTTGTATACCCTATCTGTATTAGCTGATCCAAAAGAAAGCAAAATTTGGAATAAATAAAGAAAAAAAAATTTTTCTGGGTAAAGAAAACTGTTTTCATGCGTGGAAGCAATGAAAGCTTGCTCTAGGTGGATGGTCTTAAGTGAACTAAAATAAGATTGTGTGTACTACTACATGAGAAATTTCTGCAATTTGATTGGCTCAGAGAAGTGGTATTTCAGCTTAATTTGAAATACCTACATGTGAAAATTACAAAACTTTTGCGGGTAGTAATATAAACAAATAATAGCATGATTTGTACGTGATATTTGGCATAAATACCACGAGTGATATTTCAAAATTGTCTGAAATTTCACTTGCCTAACGGCTCGTGAATTTACGTATAACAATTTCGAAATATCACTCGTGGTATTTATGCCAGATATCACTACAAATCATGCTATTACCTATACAAATTCAAAGCCAATATAATAACTCTGGCGATCACAATTGGTGAAAGAAGCCAAGCAAAAGTAAAGTTGTTCTTGAGCGCGGGAAAATGCACCGGAACGAGTCAAGAATGCTGTGGATTTTATTTTGTAGAATGCGTAACAAAATGGGAGATGTTTTGTCAAAATAGCCCACGTTCGACATATTTAAATTCTAACGTGACTCCGAGGCTTTTTGGTCATTATTCTATAATTAGTCTGGTTTTCTTTGTGCTCAAGTCTCTCCTGGGAATTGCTCGACATTGGAGTCTTGAAAAATTTGCAGTCATGATAGAATTTTAATATATCGAACGTGGGCTAAACAGCAACAAGAAATAATTTTTTTACAGACACAAAAGAAAATGACTTTGTGATAAAAAATGTTTTTCCTGACGTGACTTATGGAATGGTTTTGTTCACAGTATAATTTCCTCAGGCCCTCAGATACATGTGATGGGTTCCCAGTCAAGCTTCTACTCAGATGACGATTACTAAGGTGAGAGAGAACGTTAAACATTTTTCTTTACCGGGTTAGAGATTGGTTTTAAAATAGTTTCAAAAACACTAGTGCGATGTGCGCAAGCCTGTGACTTTAGACTTCCAAAAATAACTTTTTTAGCGTCAAATAGAAGGGAACAAAGAAAAATCGTGTTACCTGCAAAAAATAACCGACACAGACTCAAAAGTTAGAGCTCTCTTGTCTCTTGTAAAGTACATTAAAGAGGAAACTTGGAGGAGAACAGCCTCATACTCGCAGAGCCGAGCAGTACGCGTGTTATTGAATGATTTGCTAGAGGCTCAGTATTATGTATTCGCTCGGTCCCACCAGCCTTTTTACTATAAATACTGCTGAGAGTAATTAGGAGTCCAGGGTAAAATAAATTAACTTAAAATTTATTGTAGAAGGCTCAGACTTTGAAGCTCGACTAAAGAATTACCACTCAATTGGTTTCCGCACCGTAATTTTTAGGGAGTTATTATAACTCCAAAAATGGAGTAAAAATTTTAGGTACAGGATAACCCCTTTTTTGGGGTTATTTTTTTCAAGCAATTTAACTCTAGGATTTGGGGTCATTTTTAATCCTGAAAAGAGTTTTTTTACTCCCAGTCTTGGAAAAATTAGGAAATGGGGTTACTCATTTTTACAGGGGTTGTTTTCAGTTTTTGAAGAATTTTATCTAAACTGGGGAAAAAGCTTTAGGTAGGATAACTCCTTTTTGGGGGTTATTTTAACTAGTATAATCTGGGTCAAAATTCAGCCTGAAAAAGAGTTCTTTAAACTTTTTGGAGTTAAAATAACTCACGGGTTAACTCCACTGTTCCAGTTAAATTAGCCCCACTAGAGGAGTTATTATAACTCCCTGAAAATTACAGTGCGGGCTTGAACCAGGGCACACCTCAAAGTAGTATCGTCATGTCCAGAAATGTACTTTAACTTGCCCCCTATAATGCGTTGATCTTTTCAGACATTCACGGTCAAAACATTTCGGTGACGTAGCTAGACACAAACTCGCTAGAACGTCCTGTGTGACTCGAACTCATACGCGGCACGGAGAATAAGTTAAGGCCAAGAGACTAGGCAACACGTCAATGCGCTTCATCATTTTTATGATTGAAATCACGTCACAAAGTGTCTCCTTCTCCTAAAAATGCTTAAACGCAAGCATTGCTGTGAACAAGGCTTTGGGTGACAAAACACAGTGATTTGTATGAATTTGGAAATTTCAAATAATATAATTGTGTTATACAAATTACCCATGCAAGATCCGAGTTGGGGTGCACTTCTGGATGTGAGCGAAAGTTTCGATCAGCCTCGTTCTCCAAGGCAAGGTTGAGTTTTAATATTTTTATAGAAACATTTTAACTCTGAAAAATTGTTATTGTTGTTTTCTTTCAGAGTTTCTACTTTTTGTTTGACGAAAGTGTTTATCAAGCACCTTTATGTGTACATATATTGTAACCGTTCTTGGTTTCTAAAAGTCCTATATATTTTTCCTCTGTGCTGTATATAACACTTAAGGTTATTCAGATGTTTATAACAAAAATCAACAGAATTGAAACGCACGTGGATTTCCTTTTTTCGCACAAATAAGCATTTGACTTCTTTTTCTTATTGTTTTGTCCATCGATCCGCAAGAAACGACTACTCCCTGTATTTGTAATAACTGTATTTCTGGCGTCGTCTGTTCTCCAGATGATCTAAGGTCAATGAGCATAAATTGATGAGATTTAACATGGGAATTTGACACTGTTTTTCATTACCGACTGTAATGCACTGGTGTACAAAGAGAATGGCAATAAAAAATCCATTTCACGAAACGAGTCTCAGTTATTGGGTTACGAACTTTGTAGACCTAATGGGCTGGTCAATGAAATGAGCGACGCTCATCCACCAAAGTCCTGCATCCACCCATCATACGAGCTTTTTCTGTTGCTGCTCCGGAACTTTGGAATAACTTACCTGAGGATATCAAATCTGCAAACTCGATTGATGATTTTAAACGCAAACTTAAAACATTTCTTTTTATGCGAGCTTATGAATCGTGATGTTTTTATTTGCTATCTGATTTTTATCTGTTGTGTACATTTATCTATTTTTTAGTTAGCGTCTAGTTTTAATGTCAATTTCGTGTGATTATTTTTACTTTTTAGTTTTATCTGATTTTTGTAAATAGCGCCTTTGAATCTTGTAGAAAAGGCGCTATATAAATGGATTATTATTATTATTATTATTATTATTATAGTTTTGCTGTCAGTCGGGAAGAGGGAAAATAAAGCCTATGATGCAAGATGATGAATAGAACGAGCTAACATGAAAAAAAACAAACAAACAAATAAACAAACAAACAAACAACAACAATAAAAATCTAAAAAAAGAAACAACAAACAAGCAAACAAGTGTTTCTGTCTCGTGAAATATATGACATTCTGTCTTTTGCGTTTCTATGTTCTCAGTTCTCACCACCATAGCTCCTCCATTCAACATGTAAACCATGCATGATACGCTTTAAACTCTGGCCAGCGCTAGCGCTCGAAGTAACAGCTTTTCACTGACAGTGGGTTTCACTCAGTTGATCCTTATTGCTTTCCTTCTGCTTTTAACATTGAAAATAAGAAAAACATTCTAAGTTAGGACCGAGACGATTCTCGAACAAAAGCGAGGGAAGTTTTCGGGTCCGGAAGCAAATTTTGAAATCAAAACCTGTTGAATGTTAAATCAAAAACCTGTTGAATGTTAGTTGACTTACATCTCCTCGAGCTCATAAACCTTTCAACATGTCAATTTTAATAATAATAAAATTTTTTGTAAAAATTAATAATAACGTAAAATAAAAAAAAAAAAAAACGAAAAATAATGAAATAATTAAGAAAAAGAAACTTTCATCGTATCATTTTTGTCAAAATTAAAATTTGTTAGGCATAAAAATGACAGTAATGAGTGAAGGCTTTTCTAAATTCAAAATATATTAGAATGGGTCCCGTCACAGAGCTAAATTGTTTGCCATGAGTTAATCATTTGGCGGTTATCAATTTACGGCTCTGCGATGGACTAAAATGGACCCCAAGCCCAGTCGGTAAGTAGCTCATTTCAAGCCAACATTTCACGGGTTTTGGTTTTTACAGACTACACTAAGACTAGGCGGCTGTGGCAGACGTCTCCTCGAGTCGCAAGAGGGGTTTGCGGGGAGACGGCTAAAATTCAGGCTAACTGATAGCAGGTAGAAACTACCGCTGCGCTACCACTGCCACTGCAACTATTCGCGGCGAATGTGAATCTTTAATTTAATTATGGAAGTCCAAAGCGACGAGCCCCTAAGCTCTTCTTACGGTCGCAAAGCCGTAAATGAATAACCGTTAAACCGCATGGCAAATATTTCCATGGACCCTCGCCCCACAAATTATTTGCGACAAAATATTGTTTTCTCATACCCGGAGATGATACGAGTCCATGTTCGCGGAAAAGGGAAAAGGTCCCTTCCATGTTCCGCGACGGCCTATCATTTTCAAAATTAAACATAAAACAGCTTTTCGGGCCCGAAAAGTTATCGGGACACGTCTGGACCCCACGACGTCTTGGTTTTGCCTACGTGTAGACGCAGGCAAAAGGGCTGGTTCAAGTCCTCTTCACAGCTTCAGTGGTTCTCGCGTTTTTCTGGCGCAAGGCGCCTGGGGATGAGAAAGCCCGTCCCAGACTTTCCTCGGAATTTGTACCTTTGGAACCTTCAAGATGGCGGATCTGTGTGATGTTTTACTGTTATTTTTGACTTGTGTCCATTTACTCGTTTGTCCATTCACCAAAGTAGAAGAGAGCTTTAACATCCAAGCAACGCACGATCTCTTGTATCACAGAGGCAACATTAGCAAGGTACGGTACTTCAATTACGATCGCCTGGTAGCGATCTCAAATTTCCAAGCGAAAGTCTCCTAGAGTACAGAGTAGGAGCGCGTTGTTCATGTAACTGCAGAGTAGATGCATTTTGCAAATTGAAACCCTGAAAATACGATGGAATAGAGAATTAAATCTGGAGTACAATAAAAAAAGTGTTCTTATTAACCTTACTGCTGTGTAAGTCATTCCATTTTTATCCGTAACCCTCGCTCACCACCAACCGAGGCTGGAATCCGAACTCTAAATTTTTTTGCTGGCGCCCTTTGAAAAATTGAAGGGTATAAATTTCGTTGGCTTTACTCATGAAAAATTCTCAACTCCACTTTTCAAAAACCTGTCATTCTTAGGAGGGAGGAAATTGTGGGATGGGGTGGGGGGCGGCGGGGACACATTAAAATTGGAATGTCCCAGGTAATTCTCTGTTCCATCACTTGCTTCATACATTGTAGTGCTACAAGCTTAAGGTACGACAGTATATTACGTAACCCTGAAATAAAAAAAATGACTACTAGCTAGGTTATGCCTATATTTTTTGCTCCTTTTATTGTCATATTGTTTAATTTAAGACCATTTTAAGCAACAAGCTTTAGTTAATTTTTGTATGTCCTTCTATTTCTTTTTCAGTATGATCACTTGGAGTTTCCTGGTGTTGTCCCTCGCACTTTTCTTGGTCCTATTGTGGTTTCATCACTCGCATATCCAGTGATTACAGGTCTTAATGTTGCTGGTGCATCAAAACTATGGTCACAGATTGTAGGTATAATTATACATATTAATATTTGGTCAGGTAGTAGATTATCCTGAGAGCAGAGTCCCTTCCTCTTCCTCTTCCTGACTTATCAAGGAAGATCTAAATGCCACTGATTAAAGGGCAGTAGCAAATACCAAATATTTAGCAAATTATATTATTGTTAGTGGATGAGGATACATAATGTCATTTTTCCACATCATACGATACAGAATGCATTTAAAGGGCCACAATGGGATGTATGATCAGGGCTCCAAAAAAAAAAATTGAATTCCAGCTTGTCCTTTGGGCAAGCAGCTCCCTCATTTTGCTTGCATTGGGCCTCTTCTTGCTCGTCTTAATTAATGATTAAGTTAAAAGATGACTTGCTTAGACCCTTGCCTTTGGCCAAGTGAATTTAAAAGTTATATGCCCTGGAAGAAAATCTGCTTGTCCCGGACGACTGGATGGGACTTTTTTTGAGCCCTGATGATAAGATACATACTGTGAAGGACTGGACTTACAGTTCCCATTACTAGTTGGGGGTGCAAAAACTCTTCAGCTGGCAAATGACAAATATTAGTAGTTATGCATTTGTGTACCATCTTGTCTGCCATCTTCATTAAGGTAAGAAAGATGCTAGGCAGGGATGGTTTGCTTTTTCATTTTGTCTCTACCATAAGATGGCCTTACAGTGGCTAAATGGAGAGTTTAAGACATTGATTTAGTTTAAGTTTTTTGAGATAAATATAGAGCAATTTAGAGTCACATTTATGACAAAATATGGCAAACAGGAATAATTACAATATCTACAAAGGGCTTCTGATAGGTCAAGGAAAAAAAAGTCAAATTTTGCGGGATTCTTAGGGCCAAATTCACGGAAAAGTCGGCCGATTTCACGGGAATTTTCGGGGCAAACTTCACCAAAAAGTAATCAGTAAAAAATGGCCGATTTCGTATATGTTTTCAGGGCAAATTTTGCTAGGAATCGATCGGTTTTGCGCTGATCAGACCAGCGTTTCAAAAGTTTTTCTAACAGAGGTCGTCATTTGCTCTTTCAACAACAATACGTTCCAGAAATGAACCAATGGGAAAACTTTTAACATCATGGCTGGTGCCCAGTTTTTCGCAACATAATCTATGCCTGATAGTTTCGGGACGTTATTTGCACGTTTCAGTGACGGAGTTTCAAGATGAATTTGCAAGTTTACGGCAAGCAAATAGCCCCAATAGCTGAGCTAAGTTTCAAATATGTTGTACAGACATGTATTTGATAAGATTTCTACCGAATTTCATGGTATTTTGTGTATTTTTGTGACTTTTGCAGGATTTCGCAGATTTACCTGAATTTCACAGCACTGCGACAGCGCAAAATATCAGAAGCCCTGTATACAACAAGACCAAGTGTTTACTTATCTAGGCTGTAAAGATCCTTATTTAAGCAAAATCAGTCAAACATCAGCCTAGAAGTAGAGTTTAACCATTATTTCCCTTTCTTTTCAGTCCGTTTTTCTCTAGGTGTTATCTCTCTGTTTGCCTTTTCAAAGTTCAGAAGCTCAATCTCACTTACCTTTGGTTCAGATGTTGGAGTTTTCTTAGCACTGATAACTGCCTCTCAGTTTCACTTGTTATTTTATTTATCAAGACCACTACCAAATACATTTGCCCTTGTATTAGGTAAGTAATATACTACTTATTAACCAAGATTGAGTTTCATTACAGGGAAATCTCAGACCAAAGCCTTGAACGAAATCAATACATCAAGGCTGAGGTCTGAGATTTCCCTGTATTGACCAAACCATCGAGGGTAATAAGTTATTTATTATGTGGCCTTTTTATTATGGACCTGAGCCTGCGATCAATTAAAGCCAACAACTGGTCAGTGGATAACTTTAAAAAACACATCACCTCAATGAGTCGTACACTTGAGCCCTTTTTCACAGCTGTCAATTGACTATGACATGGATGTCCATAAGGATGCCCACTGTCAAGTTAAATACAGATTGTATATGCCTTGGCACATGTGTAGCTAGTAATGCCTGGTCGTTACTAGAAAATAATACCCTGTCATTACAAAAAAACAGCCAATAAGAGAGCGTACTACATGTATTTTAGCCATATGATAAAGAATTTTAATATTCAGACTGTCTAATTTACAAATCAACAACAATTTTCCATGATCTGACTACATTTATGAAGACCTTAAAATGTTCAAAACTCAAGTGGAATCACGAGCTGCAACGGAGTGTTTTCACTGTAAGTTTTGAACATTTTGATATCACTTCTATGGTCATTATGAGAGTGGTTGCAAGGACAGTATTGACTATATGTGTATTCCTTCATTTTTTCTCCTTTGTAGTTCTTTTTGCTTTCCGGTTTTGGCTTAATCAACATCATTCAAAGTTTATCTGGACATCAGCATTTGCTATCATCATCTTCAGATCGGAGCTTTGCATTTTGTTGGGGCTGATTTTCTTCCTGGAGCTTGCTACCAGACGAGTATCTCTGCTAACAGGAATCTTGCATTCTGCTTTAGCAGGAATATGTGCAGTAGGTACTAAAAGCTTTGACATATCATCTTTTGGCTTACCTTATTCAGGTTGCCATTTTGTAGAGAATTGCATATGATACAGGTGAACTGTATTTACTTGATTAAATGCTTTCCTCATATATTATATTAAGGCCACAAATGGAAGCAAAGTTACCAAAAAACACTACTCTTAAGAAAATGTTGCACCTAATCAGAAGAATGTGGAGTTATTTGAAGGATTAACCCATTTGCCCCTGAACCGCCCGTAACCGCCCGTGCAGATCCAGGTCCTTTCTACCCTTTGTGACGTCATCAGTTTTAACGGTCAAGGACAACTTTCTTCGCTAACTTGTGCAGAGTGAAGAGATCCTTCAAACCATACCAGAATGAGCACAATTCAGTCAAGGACACCAGAGAAAGAAGCAAAAAACCACGTGACATTGACCTGAAAATCTCCATGAAAATCTTGTTCCATTGCTCACCTACCTTTCCTTTCACCTAATCCTAAGATCCTAAAAGCTTTCCTAAAAACTCTTCCCACCAAAATGAAGCCTACCAAATGCCCAGCAAGAGAAAAAAAAATGAGGCAAGAAAAGCGAAAAAAGAAGGGAGGAGAGAAAGCGAAAAGTAAAAGTCAAGACTGCTGTGTCACCAAAATATTTATTTTGTTTTCTGCGCATGCCCGAACTTCGCAAGCTGATATTTTGCATCTGGATCAGGGCCGGGTTGTTCAAACGTTGGATAGCACTATCCACTGGATAAACCACTGTCCAGCGGATAAGTATCAGGGAAACTAATTGCACTATCCACTGGATAGTGATTTATCCGGTGGATAGTGCTATCCAACCTTTGAACAACCGAAGCCAGAAGGCCGCGAAGTCTACGACCTGTAAACCGGTTTGTGGTAAGTTTTAGCTCTTTATAGCACGACAGTGACCAGAAAACCACTTGACTAGCTTCAAAACGCGTTTTTCGGCAAAATCTCCAGGAGCGAATGGGTTAAATAAGATCAAAAAACAACTGTATAGAAAAGTTTGGTACAACTAGGTACATTCTATCAGAAGCCAAACCGTTATGATTGTAAAAATGTCTCTGTTTTACATATTTACAATGATTCCTCATAAATATGTTGTTGTCAGTGATTTATGATTTTGAAATGAGCAAACCACATCCTGGAATAAACGTAACCCTTGAATAAATCCCATGTCTAAAAAGCCAAAAAGGTGATAAACACCTCTGTGCTTAATCAAGTAATGCTCAATATTCCAACAAATACCTGCTTGGAATTGATTGAGCTATGAATGCAATACTCGCTTTTTTCTGGATTATTGTAACTTGCATCCATAATTAATTTTATATGGGTCATGTAAGGTTTGAGTTGGTGAATAATGAGTAAATGTTAAATGTAATCAATTTATGTTTATATCATTATACTACTACATGCGAAATTTCTGCAGTTTGATTGGCTTACAGCAGTGGTATTTCAGCTTAATTTGAAATACCTACAGGTGAAAATTACAAACCTTTGCGGGTAGTAGTGTAAACAAATAATAGCATGACTTGTACATGAAATTCGGCATAAATATCACTTGTTATATTTCAAAATTATCTCAAATTTCACTTGCCTAAAGGTTTTTTTGAAAATACGTTTAACAATTGTGAAATATCACTCATGGTATTTATGCCAATTATACTAAGAATCATGCTATTACCTGTACAAATTGACAAAAACGACTTATTTTGTTGTAGCTTTGACTTTTTGTGTGGATTCAGTGTTCTGGAAAAGATACCTGTGGCCAGAAGGGGAGGTGTTATGGTATAACACAGTTCTTAACAAAAGCTCCAATTGGGGAGTATCCTTTTAAATTATAACAAGAAATAGTATTAAATAATGCAGTCTGCAGAATGACTGTGCAGGACTGTGCAGGACTGTGCAAATCATGAGCATATTTTATGAGGTTATAAAGTATAAACTCGGATGTGAAGGAAATCATTTATTTCTAAAGACCTTTTTTGTTTGTTTTTGGTTTTACAGTACAGGTGTATTTAAACAAGATGTTTTGACACACTGACAGAACAAGAAATGTCCGAAAGAAAAATGGTGACTTGTCCTTTCGCCAATTGTCGTTTCACTAACGTCCATTTTGCCTGCCAATGTCTTAAGTGGTTTTGCTTGTGACACGAAGTGAGCACCACACATAATTATATTTACCTGATTCTTTTAGCCATGACGCCGACAAAAAAGTCCCATACACACGCGTATACCACTTTGTTTAAGCTGCAAATCAGGTTAATGAAGTTGGGGAACTGTCCTAACACGTTAGCCAAACGACTTAAGATGTTGGCAAAGAGAAGGTTGACAAAACGACTGTTAATTGAAAAGCATATAAAATACTCTGAGGTTGTATGGTTATCTTTTCTATTTTTTTTTTTGTTTTATTTCTTTTTTTACCTTACCATTAAAAAGAATTATTGAAGTTTGGATAGCATAGCCCAAGATACCCCTTTGCTTGAAAAAAAAAAAAGAAGTAAACAAAAAGATAGAAATCTACCATTTTGGACCCCGTTGTTCCTTGATCACATCTCAGACATCTCCGTTCCTTTGGTACTTCTACTCAGTCCTCCCCAGATGTTTACTCTTTGCCCTTGTCCTAGTCCCTCTCGGCCTTTGGCGGGACAGGAGGACCTGGACTCTAGCAGCTCCTTCCATTGCCTTTGTGTTTCTTTATTCATTTCTTCCACATAAGGAGCTTCGATTTATCATTTATGTCATCCCTGTGCTCAATGCAGTGGCAGCATGTGGAATGAGCTTTATGTAAGCGCTGTTAATGAATACCATCTTTAATTGGTGTCATTAAATTTAGGGACCAACCATACTGACAATGATCAAATAGATACTAGGAGCACGTATTTAATTTTGGGAGCCAAAAGGGGGCGTTTAATAGAAAGGAGGCATTTAAAGGTGAGAGGCATTTATTCTGTATTAAACTGTAACAATTTCCAAAAAACTAGTATGCTTTCGATAGGTGAATGATTTACTACAGTTTGTAAATGGCAAACTACCCAGTCTATCCATTGATATGTCTAGGTCGTTTAGAGATCCATATGGTTTTTGTAAAGCTCTATTTCGATTTCAGAATCTTTACTCTAAACTTGTTATAAAACAAGTTGCAAGAAAGCAAGCAATCTGAACAAATTCCAGGGCGTCTCTTACACAGGGCGGGCAGGCGTTTATTAGAGAGGGGCATCTTTTACAAACTCAAAAGCGTAGGGGGTATTAGACAAGAGAAGTTCATTATAGAACTAGAGGGCGTTTATTAGATCATTTACGTGTTAAAAGAAATCTTGTGCGGTAGAACTAAATATAAGCTGACAGTTATGTGCAAAATTTGTTTCGCGTTGCTTTGCTGGTGAAGGCCCCATCGTAGCTACCTGAAAACTGGTTACATGTACCTGAAGGCAATAATCTAGTAGCTTTTCTTGTAGAAAGCATGGTTAAAGGTTTTTTTTGTCCTGTTTCGGAATTTACTCTATGGAAATTCTGGGTGGTGGCTCTTTAACTTACATTCTGGGTGTCCACCTTGTGTAAGCTTAATGTTGATGCTTGTGTAATTTTCTCATGTTTTCCATTTATGTTTCCTTTGAAAAGATTGCTCATTGAACGTGTTGACTGATTTTCAGATACAAGAATGAAGCTAAATGGAAGCCATTACTGTCTGTTCTCGTGAAATTTGTCACTGTGGGGGGACTGCTGGGCAACTGCTTGGTCAGTGGTTTATTGCTGTTTATCTCCCATCATAACTACCCTGGAGGAGTAGCTTTTCAAAGGATTCACGCACTCCTAGACAATCAAACAGGTAGAGAGTATTGCTTTCACTGTCACAGCTGTTGGATTAACGCCTACAGTTTACCACCCACATTACGGGGAACGTCCTTCTTAAGGACGTTACGATCTGACAACGACGACGCCAGTGAAAATGTCGTTAAAAAATATACCCTGCATCCTTTCAAACGTTTTTCGCGATTTCTGTAAGTCGTCTAGTTACTTAAAAGTAGTGAAATTAGGTTGGAGCTGAGGAAGGGAACAGCGTTCGAGCTCAGACTGAGATAGTAACATTTATCGCCATGCTGGTCCCGTTTTCAAGTTGACTTGAGATTCGGGAACGAAGGGAATTAGAGGACGTCTTCGGCTCTTACCAAAAGGTGGTGACAGGAAGAAGAGTTAGTTTTCTCGGTTGGAAGAGGAGAGTTGTTGTAGTTTGTACTAAACTGCTTTCCATATAGGACTTGACTGATATGGCTGGATAGTTTTCATTAAAAGTGAGACTCTCGTTTCGACGGGAATGGTGTGGTCAGTCAGTTCTGACAAATGGAAAACGCCCAAAGGCTGTGTTCACGCCATACCGGATGGCTTTTGTGCCGACAGGAAAATTATTCGGTATAGTGTGAACAGAAACGACACAGAACTGGAACAAGTTGTTCACACCATAGTAGAGGAGACTGGTTAGGAAACTCGGCAAACATCAATGTTGAAAACAACTGGTGCTGTAGGTTATGTTGGAAGCTCCCTGACTGTGCACAATCCTTTGTTTCCTGTTCACAAATTATGACTGAATAAATTAATGCAATATTTCTATTGGTCAGTAACTTCAAAATGATGGGAATGCTATTGAACGTTGTGCAAGGTCAGGTCCAAAAAAGCGAACAAAAACCTATAACAAAGGGTTTCCCAACCATTCTACGTAAATTAACTATGTTCACACACATCGGTCGTCGTGACGGAACGGTTGGCCGAGAGGGTTTGGTGAACTAAATCCCATTTCTCGGTCCCACGTATTCCCTTCCGCTGCGGTCTTTACACCTGTTCACACTACACCAAAGTGTGGCACAGAACCTATCCGATATGTGACGCTCTACTTTAGAGGTAGACGCGGCGCAGCTTTGCTCCGTGACTAGGAGGCAGTGTGGCCGAGCGGTTAGAACGCTGGACTTTTAATTCGTAAGCCCCGAATTCAAGTCCCCCTCTGACCGCTAGCTGGATTTGTTCACGGTAGTCCCGAGTTCAAATCCTCGGCCACGCTTGTAAATAGCCAGCTGGTTTGCCTCCAGACCAGTTGGGATTCTCAACCCTGTTAAGTTCAATTTGAATTATTTGCTTCAGGTATTTGCTCGGCCTCACTAACATTAGTGCAATAAATACTGCGGAGGGTAAATAACGGAATTATTATTATTATTATTATTATTATTATTATTAATCTCCTATATTGTAGGAGGTTTTTGTCACAGGCTGCATTCCACAAATAAGCAGAGTCCTTTTTTGTTTTCCTCAGAGGCTTGTCGGGTCCACATTTCTGTTGCTGCTGCTCAAACTGGAGTTTCTCGGTTTGGCGAAGTGAATCCTTCCTGGAGGTGAGCAACCCTCTACACTTACCGGGGATAGTTTTGTGGAAAGGAGATAAACTTTTACACATGCGCGCGAATGTTGCTAGGATGCCGTCTAATTGCAACTTACAGTCTTACTCTTGTTTTTCACACCAGCTTAGTCTTTCCACTGTTCGTTCTAAGGCCGTTCAGTCATGTCTAATACTTTCGACATGTTACGAGTGGAAAATTTATACGTTTTACAACTCGACTGGACAAGTAGTGTCCACTCGACAGATAGAGTTGTCGAGTCAAAATGCATGGCTTTGGTTCACTCAAGCTTCCGCGTCGAAAGTTGTCTAGTCGTACTATCTGTACTCAGCCTCAGCTGTGCAGTCCTGCTTTTATTACAATACGATTTTCATTGTTTGCCTCTGTCTCTTGGATGGTGGTCTATCTTTAGATCATTGCCGCTGCGACCGTTCAATATTCGATCGCTGTACTTTCTTTTTCAGGCATCCTAGCAGTTGCAGCTGTCACCCCGTAGCGATCATAACACATTTGGGAGCTTAAGCAACAATCACGGCGACGGTTACGAAAACGTCACTTACAAAGTGAATGCTCGCTGCTTTAAACTTTATGACGCTTATTCCACATCGTCTAATTCATCAAATGTTGGCAAATGTTTTGGAGTTGAATTCTAAAGGACTGTATCACTGTTCAGGAAAGAAAAAGAAAGTTATTGTCTTCTGTTCCCGTTCTCAACAAAACGTGAATTTAGGCACTTTCACGTTGTAGTCGTGCCAAGACGGCGAAGAAATGTACGAAAAAGCGTGATGCACGTGCAAAGTTGTTTTGCTAATCTTAACCGATTATCTTTACCATCGCCATCATCTTTGCTTAAGCTCCCTATTGTATCACACGGAAACCAGCCTTTACGGAAGCTTTAACTGTAGTCACTTTTCACAGATATTTCAAGACAGAAGATCTACCCGATGACAGCCCTGAAATGCTGGGATTCACTCATCTCCTTACTGAGCCACCATGTGACAAAATGAAGCGATCGCACTTACTTCTCGACACTGTAAATGGTTTTGAAAGGATTAGTTTGGATTTTAAACGTTTTCCTTTCTTTTCTTTGGTATTAGCTCCTAAAATTTGTATTCAAGAGAAGCGGGGATGGAAAAAAAGCGATAAGAGCAGGAGCTAGTTGTTTGAATCCTATATCGCAGCATAGGGTGCATTTTTAAAAACATTACTTAATATACCATCCTCGGAGACCCAGGGGCCGTTAGTCGGGTCGATAAAATGTTCGTGGTGAAAGTTTTCTGTAAGATCGAGACGAGCTCGTCTCGATCTTACAGAAAACTTTCACCACGAACATTTTGTCGACCCGAGTAACTGCCCCTGGGTCTCCGAGGATGTTAAAATACCATCCACACTAAAAAGTCAACACTGCACACTTCTTATATACTAGAAAAATATTGTGTGTCATTATCTGGCAAGTAATTCTCAAGGCTGAATGAAGCATTCTGATTGGCTGTTTTACGGTTAGGATCTTACATTACGGCCCTTAATTACGGAAACTGCTCTTTATAGGCATATTTTTGTTGCCCCTCGTGAAAGATCGAAACCAAAAAAAAAAACAAATAATGGTTTTGATTACTGGGAACTTGTTTGATTAATCATTTCAAAATAAAGATAAACCCGGCTTTAGAAGCTAATACTTGTCCATAAAAGGCCTTGTAAGACGAGGAAGGATGCACGAAATACTTCCAATTTTCACAAACATTTATGATGGCCGACGATGAAATGATTGCTATGCTCAACTGCTGCTCCGGCAGGCAGCTGGAGTCAAGAAGAAAAACGAATGTTTCTAAAATATTGTGATTTAAGTTTAAAAAAAGACGTGAATCAAGAAGATAATTTCAAATAAATTATTTAAATCTCATGTAAAACTACAAATTCAATACAATGAAAACAACAAAGAAAATTAAAAGACAAAAAAATTTCCGAAATTGTGTTGCTGCCAAGAGTTGTTTTGTTGTTGTTAATGCTTGTTGGAGCTTGTAGACCATTTTAGCTGTTATCCCAGGGAACTGTTTTGTTGTCCTATGCATGCATGCATGATTTATGAAAATTCCTTGAGAACTTCAGTCACGTAGTCTGAATGAAACGAGTCTTATAGTTAATGCGAAAAAGCAAATGCCACCAGGAAAAAAATACCAGAAGCCCTCGATCCTGGAAATACTCATGGCCCCAGGCTGATTTGAAATTAATAACTAACACTAAAACAAACCAAGGTGTCATGTTCTGTCAAGTGTAAGGTTGGGGGCTCAACTTTGAGATAACCCGAACGTGCTGACGATTTTTACGCTCAAGGAGCGAAGAAGCAGTTCCACTTTATTAGACTGTGCCAGAGGAGACTACCCGTACGGTGCTCCCTAAGGTACTATTGAACAAGAGCCCCAGTCTTTATGATCATTATAGATCTGCTACGCAGTACAGGAACTCCAGAGTTAGAGGTAACCTTACACCTATGGCACAGTACAGGAACGCCAGCAGAGGTCACCTTACACTCCTGCTCCCAGAATGGTCGTGTGAATGTTTCATGAATGCTTGACTTGAACTCTTCCCACAACATCGAAGGAATATTTGCAATATAAAGAAGTTCATCTTTGATTCGACACATTGCATTTCTGATTCCTCTCATAAACGCGGACCAATATGAACTGGTGGTGCTTACGAAAACTGTCCAACATAAAAGGCACATAAAGCAGAGAGACATCGTTAACATGACAACCGCTGCAACTACCGAAACCGCTGCACACAGGATCAACAACGCGGGCCCAAAGATGATAACAAGGGTCAGAAGTAATGGGGATAAGACCAAAAGAAAGGTTGATGCCAAAAATAACGAAAGAATTGGGCATTCCTCCACAGCTCTTTTGATCTTGTTGATCCTGTTTTCAACCTGCTTCTGCCGGATCCGAGATGCCTGTTCTCCGAGCATGCGTAGAGTATGCAAATCACTCATCGCTTGGTGCAAATCACTCATCACTGTCAGCTGTGTTTACAACCTAAAAAAATGATAAACTAATGCAGAAATTCCCTGGTTGCCACAAATTAGTCTAATGCCCCGAGGCTTAAACGAGTTAAAATGTTTTCTTCGAGATAATGGCCGTTTTCACACCAGAGAGGATCATTCGTCTCAGACTGGTTATCCGTTGGATAATTCGCGTCAGACGAATAATCTGTCTTAATGTGAAAACGGAATGGTTTTAATTTTGGACGAATACCGTAAAATTCCGAAAATAAGCCCCGGGGCTTATATTTTTCCTTTTTGAGGGGTTTATTTTTGGAGGGGCTTATCCACGGAGGGAAATTTGCGCTTCAAAATCGATTGGGCTAGCCTTATAGTTGGAAGTAAATTTACCGTTTTTGCTTTGTTTTACCTTGTATTTGAGGGCAATTTTCCAAGTACAAGCCCCCGGGTGGCTTATATTTGGAGGGGCAATTTAACGGAGGGTTTTTTGTGTTACCAGTTTGGGGGGCTTATATTTGGAGCTAGGGGCTTTTACGTGGAGGGGCTTATTTTCGGAATTTTACGGCAATCTGTCTGACTTTAACTGTCTGTTTATCCATCAATTTTGACGGCCTTAGCCTGACAAAACAGACAACATTTCGCGACACCACCACTGATTTCCCCGCGAAATGACGTCTGAGAAATGAGCGTAGAAATTCCATACTGATGACGCGTCACTACTCAGATCTGAGTAGTGCTTCTGATTGGTTGAAGCAGATTTCCCACGAGGCACGACCAATCAGAAGCCCTACCCAGATCTGGGTAGTGACGCGTCATCAGTATGGAATTTCTGCGCTCATTTCTCAGACGTTGGGCGCGATCCATTAAACCAAAAGTTCCGGAAATTTCGGTCCAAAACTCAATGGATCGGTTCGGTCCAACCGGAAAAGTTTCGAAAAAACGGGTCCACTTTTTGAGGTGGACCACTTCTCCCGGTCGGACCGGTTGGAATTTTGGTTGAATGGATCGCGCCCGTTATTTTGCGGAGAAACCACCGGTGGAGTCGCGAAATGTCGTCTGTTTTCTCAGGCTATGACGGCCTTTGAAGACGGATTATCCGTCTCTAGTGTGAAAACGGCTAAATTTCCTGCTTACTGAAGTTTGCCGTGTTCAAATTTAGCGAAAATTAAGAACATTTCAATCTGTTTAAAAGTAAGCGTTGTAGTTTCCGTTATAATTAATTTACTGATGCTTTCTTAAACTAGCTAGATGTTGTTGGAAGGAAGTATATGCCGAAGTGAATTATTGGGGAAAAAAAGCTTTAAAGAAGGGCAGCCTATTAAAACACTTGCAGAATGAAGAAAAGCCAACCAACCAACCAATAAAAAAGGATATTTTGAAAGACAAAAACAAAAGAAAAACAAAAACAAAAAACAGTTAATCGAATTGTTTTTAGAATGTTTCGCTTGCCAATAACAAGGCATTAAAAAAAAGTTAAATTGGCAAACACTACCTTTTACGCATCGTGGTGAAATAAATAAATAAACTTGATTCCAGTAGATTGTTTTATCGCGAGCGGATAAACAAGTTTGGGGGAATTGTTGAGTTAGATTGATGTTAATCGGCTTTACAACATCTGTAGGTCCAGGAAATAAGGTATTAAAATTTAATTACTCGTGTTTAGCACTCACCTTAGATTTCCCACTTGTAACGATCACGATTGAAATATTTTTATACACTTAACAAAAGCTATTCTCAAAAAAGAAAACATCTTGACAATTAATGGAAAAATCGAATTATGACGTAATAGATTATCGTGCCTAATTGGTGGAATTTCCAATTTTAGTAATGGTAACAGGACTGAGTGGAGTCCAATTCGGTCTGTAATCATACGAGTGATTAACAAAATCGGACGACTGCGTAGCGGGAGTCCGATTTGTTTAATCACGAGTATGATTACAGACCGAATTGGACGACACGAAGTTCTGTTACCAATTAATCATAACCCTAACAAAATTTGTTATATATATATTAGGCTCTTTCTTTAAATTAAAACACAAGAAATTCCAAGATATTTTTGCCAGTAGTGAAAAAAAGCCATTTAAGCGCGCGCGTGATGGCGCGTACTGTCCTGTTAAACTGTTCAATATTAAGGCTGAAATCGGGGCAGTTGTAGCCAATCAGATTTGAGAATTTTGTTATAGTTATGATTAATCTCTAGTCATGTGACGAGCAAACGCAAACTTCGAGCTAGCCTCATTCGAGTGTCCTGATCCCGTGTTTAGACAATAAATAGGGCATAGAGACTGTTTTTTCCCGGTGGAATCTCACCAACTGGCGGTGGAATAAACCTTTTGCCTTTATCTCGTGAATAATTTATGCATGGACATCTCATTAACCTGCCGTGGAACGCATTTTCGTCAATGGCGTAATGGACGCGGGAAATCTCTTTAACATTTCACGGCAAGTTAATGAGATCCTACCACAAACAGCGGAGTAACCGGTCCCCACTATACTGCAGATGTTTGCTCCTAGAAGGCGAGCGCTACAACTTGAATCATGTATTCTCGTAATGGGTCATGCAAGCGGTGTGCACACTGGGATCGCTAAGCACCATGGGTTTTGTTCAAAATCTGATCATTTGTGTTATAAAGATGGCGTGTCGGAACATCTCGCAGGAAATTCATGAAATACGCTGTAGAAATGAGCAACGTGCCTTTGTTTTTTTCAGACGTCTCGGGAAGAAAATAAAGTCTATCGAATTATTGGGGGAAAACAGTCTCATTCCTAATAAGTGCATTTTGTTCGAAATCACTCGCATGCAGTCGGTGAATGAAGAATTGCTGCTTTGTTCCTGGTGATGGCTTGAATCAGTTCGATGCACGCGTAAAAGGACAGAGCGTCTCTTGCGCACTAAATTTTTTTTGTTCAGAGTCATTTTACTTAATTAGCCCGTGAAATAGATAGTAGACTACTACGCAGTTTACACTCTAGTTTCATTGTTTTCCATGTTTATTATTAAATCTTGTAACAATTTGGCACCTATTTCTTTTTATATGTGCGTTCGATTGACAAATCTGGATTTAGACTTTGAAATACAGTTTTCGGATTTTGCAATCAAACACGAAGTCCAAGAAGGTTTTCACCTCCGAGGATCGGTCTTGAAGGTGGATTGCAATTATGAAGTCCAAGTCCAAATTTCATGGATTTCCTTCTTTACCGTTCGATTGGGAATTCTGAAAAGGATTTGCAAAACTGTTCTCGTGAACAGTGGTCTTTTTTCCGCTAATTATGCGTGCGTGTGCGAGACCGTTGTGGAAATAAGGACTCCTTTAATAATAAATTTTTCATATATTTATCATTTTATTCTCTAGCGGATAAAGAAAAACCATAGGACTTTTCACACAACGCTTTCACTGCTCTAACTTTGAACTAGGCAAAAGAAACATCAGTCACCACCTCTATAGCTAGTGTCTATACCGGCAACTATCACTGATCTCAAAAACGAGCGTACGGGTACAAAGTTTATTTTTATGAAAAGGGATGATTTATTATTTCATTTATTTGTTTTCAATGTACGTTTTTCCGTCGCAGGATGCAAAAAAAGTCCGTTAGCATGTACTAGAAAGAGATTCATTTCTTGACGGACAAGATTAATAATGATTTATTACATTTTGTTAGCTAATTACAAAATGCGCTCTATTTGAGCTTCAATGTATTTAGCACGAAAGTGCTAAGTGGGGACACTATTTTTACGTCTCCTGCTGGGTTTCACCTCCGAGGATCGGTCTTGAACGTGGATTGCAATTATGAAATCCAAATCCGAATTTCATGGATTTCGATTGGGAATTCTGAAAAGGATTTGCTAAACTGTTCTCGTGAACAGTGGACTTTTTCCGCTAATTATGCGTGCGCGTGAGAGACCGTTGTGGAAATAAGGACTACTTTAATAAAGTTTTCATGTATTTATCATTTAGAAAAGAAAAAGAAAGAAAAGAAAAACCATAGGCCTTTTCACACAACGCTTTCACTGCTCTAACTTTGCTTAGCTCCCAGGCCTAAGCTCAATCGCGCATGGCCTATTAGGGACACAGGGTACGAGCGATTTTGCCCCTCGGCTACCTCACCGAAGGGCATTGACCGAGGCCAAGAAGGCCTGGAAAGACACCCTAGCTGGATCTTGAACTAGGCAAGACTAAACTCTTATCAGACCTAAAAGAAACATCAGTCACCACTTCTAGTGTCTATATCGGCCACTATCACCGGTCTCAAAAACGAGCGTACTGGTACAAAGTTGATTTGTCTGTCAAGTTCTGACCAATAACAAGACCCGGTTGTATCCTGAACACGTGAAAACTGTTGTGTGATAATTTGTTTGCATGGGTTTAAAATGACTTCCTTTCATTTCAACTTATCAAGAAAAAATGTTGCGCTAAGAGTTGTATTTTGCGGTAGATTTTGCGGAGCCGCGTAGTACCCGTATTACTTACCGCACCTTAAAATTAGAAGCGATGGGACACACAGTGACACTTCAGTTACCAATTTTATTTGCCTTCAATGATACCTAAGTAAACTACGTACTTTTCCTTAGAGCGATGTAGTTCTAATATAACCTTGATCCAATAAGTACTGGTGGATATCACCATTAATGACAAAACCCAATTTTAGTATGGAAAAATATTGTTCTAAGTTTAAATCTAGCCGGATTTTTGATAACGTAATCGCCTAATGGGCCCTTTGCATCGAACAGTTTTTTTCGGCCAAAAACTCTCTCTAAAGTAGCTATTATAAAAA